TTTGTTGTTTTCTTTATTACATTTGCTTAAAAAACGGTAAATAAATGGATGCGCTGTTGCCCTTGGATACCGGTTTGAAGTTTCACTTCCGAAACATATGTACATTGTTATTTAAAGCATTCCTAGCGCCAAATACCTTCATCAGAAGACCTGTAATAGTCTTCTTGATATAGAATACCTTTGAGAGATATTTCGTAGGATTTATAGATGTGACCTCGATTTGAATAATAGAGTAATGCAGCAAAATGGATTTGGAGATTGGAAATGCCTTTGATGAAAATATTAAAATTATCTCAGTTAATGTGTAACTTTTAAGATTTCAAAACTGTCATCTAAGAAGCGAGATAAAACTTGACAACATTGTTTCTATTGGCAGGTTATATCGACTGTTTTTTTTTTCGTCACTTACTATTATCGATAATTGTCATCAATTTTGTCGTTAAATTATTTGCGAACGACGCCAATGAGCAAAGAATCTAGTAAATATGAACAAGTAAAAAGTAAAAAAGCAGCCAAGTTCGACCGGACGAAACTTTTTATACCCTCCACCATTTGGAAGAAACTTGAAAGATTTCAAAAAAAAAATCGTCGGAAAATACCGCTCAAATGAAACCGTTGTTTGGGGGCTATACGAAGATGTGATCCTGCCAAAGTAATTTGTGTCATAGGTAATTTGTGTCATGTAACTGTTCCGAACTTTATATACGAAATTTGTGAATAACGTTGCAAAAATCATCGAAATACCGAATATTGGGAGAAACTGTTATATATATGATAGGGGGATATATGATATCGTAAACCCTATGACAAATCTGTTCCAAAGGGTAATGTATGTACTCACAAGGAACTCCTTTTATGGATTTTAAGACAATTCCATTGAAAAATTTGGCTGAAATCGTCAATGTACCGAATATCGGGGGGATACCTTTATATGGGGGCTATACGATATCGTGGACCTAAATAGGAACCTATATATACAAGGAACTTCTTTTGAGAATTTTCAGACAATTCTTTTGAAAAATGTGGCTAAAATCATAAAAATACCTAATATCGGGTGTGCCGTTATATAGGCATGACCTGTATAAACAGTTCTCTTCTGGGAGTAAAGTACTCACAAAAAAATCCATGTGTGGATTTTCAGACAATTCCGTTAAAAAATGTGGCTAAAATCATCAAAATACCGAGTATCGGATGGTACTGTAAATCGTAAACGCCTAAAGCCCATCTTGATCTGCCTGCAGACAAAAAACAGATCTGTGCAAAATTTTTGTTTCAAATTTGATGATATCTGTGACATTATTCAACGGAAATGTTTCAAATTCGTATTTGAAGTTCGGAATCGATACTACAGCCTACGACAAAAAATTACATATGCAGGTCCACGTCTTCGTATATCCCCCCTATAACGGTTTTCATTTAAGTGGTGTTTTTCGACGGATTTTTTTTTTAAATTATTCAAAGTGGAGGGTATTAAAAGTTCGGCCCTGCCTAACTTGTCTGCTTTTTTATTGTTTTTCGGAGGTGGTAGTACGGCACAAAATAGCAACATTTCCCAATATATTGATAATTGTTCATATAGGTCCAGGTTTTCTTATATCCCTCACTCAAAGGTACTTTTCTAAATTTGAATTTAAAAACCATTGAACAGATATTTATATTGTTCCTTGGATTATTGGTATTAGAAATGGTATATATCACAATCGATGCCTCTTGTATTTCGGGATTTTGAAGTTTATGGCCCCGATTTCAAGGCAAAACAGATGTAATTTGATATTTCGAGTTTCTTCTCATAAAATATGCAATATAATGGATATGCTATAGCGAATACCTACTTTCTCAAGGACTTTCTCTCGACGAGTTACAGATGAGAGTTCCTGTGGGCATCATTACTGACAAGGTTAACGTAGCTCAAGTTTAAAAAAGTCCAACAATTGCATTTTGAAAAATCTAAAAGTCCATGTTGAGACCTTAACCATGAAATGTACTCATCATCGGCACCTAATGTACCCGAGTTTTGTGCTCGAAGTTTTTGAGTTCGAGACTCGGTGTCGGCATACAAAGAAAGAAATTGTTGATTTTGGGAATCTTTGTTACAAGATTGTTGATTCTGTGGCTAAACATTTTTGTGTCGATTTGTTTGTCGAGGGTGATTTTAGTCGACAATTTTAATCACAGCCCTCAGCCATATGGCTAGAGAGGGTATATATCATTTGATACCGGCAAAACGTGCATCATTGAAATAATGCTTTTAGACCCTAGGTCTCTTTGAAACAAAACTGTTTTAGGACATTTGAAGCCAATCCAGGTATTTCCGTCCGTCTGTCTGTCTGGCGGGCTGGTGCGCACGATAACTCTCGTAATATTATTATCAAACTTAGGCCGAGTTCAGAGATGGGCAATATCGGTCCACTCCCTGCTGGTACCTCCCCCACAAAGGTTCAAAATTTTAAATATCCATGAAGCTCATAAAACGCAAAATAACACTCAATTCAATTCAGACTTAGCACATCTCAATATTTCTATCAGCACAAGATCTGTTATAAAGATGGTAAGGACCGGACCATTTCTTCTGGTACCTTTCCATCAAAGAGTAAAATTTTTAAATAACCAAAACGATTATAAAATCCGAAATAAGCATGCGGTTCCCTTCATATTTCACACATCCCATTATTTCTACTAACACAAGATCTGCGGTGAAGATGGGATATATCGGTCCACTCTTCTGATACCTCCTCCACAAAAGGTCACCATTTTGAATACCCATGAAGCTCATAAAACGCGAAATTTACATTCTCTCAACTAGAAACTTGAGATGAATACAGAATTTATGATTTCGCATAAAATTGGATATAAGAATTTTTGTTAGAATCGGGATTTGGAGTTCGTAATAGGCACCATCTTCATTGTTTAAATTATAGCGAATTTTTTATGAATTTTTTTCATTTGCAAATTAACTCTAAATGGTGGAGATTTCAAAAAGAGGTCGACCGAAACCTACCATCTTCACCCCAGACCTTGCGTCAGTAGAAAAATATGAAATGTTTGAAATTTGAGTAGAATACGGGTGGGATAAAAAACTCCAAAAAAGTCAAACGCCACAATTTTTACATTAAAAAAAAAATATTGATCGACACTTTGGTATTTTTAGTGCCAACCTTTAGTCCAACGGATTTAGTCCAACGGATTGGTATCCGGAGATTTTGGTGGTCATTGTGCGCTGAAAATGAAGCGAGGAACCTCATTTTGTAACCATTCTTGGGTGGCACGTGTTGAGTGCGATGGTGCTGAGTCCTGTTGGAATGTCCAAGGTCTGTGGCCAAACATAATATTGGGCATTTATTCTGATGCCACTGTCGATTAATACGAGCAAAGAGTGACCATCGGCTTTTATGGCGGCCCACACCATCACCATGGTCGGCGCTTGAGTTCTGGTGGCCAACCGAAGGTGCACATTTTCAGCTGACCTCTTTGGCAAGTAAACACGATCATTTTGTTTGTTTACAAACTGCTCTGCTGGACAACGAATGTTTTCTCATCGGAATAAACCAAATTCGGAAGTTCACCACTTTCGGCCAAGCGAAGCAACTCTTTAGCTCTTTTGAGGCTATTTTCTTTTAGTTAGGGTGTAAGTTCTTACACTTTTTGGAATTTCAATGGCTTTACCCTAGGCTCATTTTTTAATATTTACCGAATGGAGTATTGCGATATGTTCAGCTCACGAGCCATCTTTCGGCCACTGCGAAGCGGGTTTCGATCAAGTAGCTTCGTTACTTTTCGAACCATTCCTGCTGATGTTGCTGTTTTCTTCCGTCCATTTCCTTGACGTCGGGCTACCCTACCAGTATCATGATAACGAGCGATGGTACGAGACACAAAAGATTTATTCACATTTAAATGCTGGGGTGTTCTAACGATAGCCACTTGTTGTTTTCCAGCCAAATATAAAGAAATCACACTATAACGCTTGCATTTCATCACGAATAACTTTTTTCTAGAAAATTCTCACCAAAATGCTTTTGTACGGTTGTAAACAATATAATGAGCTGTCACTGAAATAACTTTAGCAGCTGTCGGACAAGTGGCTTAGAAATAACAGCAGTCTGAAGTTGGTTGCAGTTTTTTCATCTCACCCTGTATTTCAAAGGTGATTTCTTGTAATATCACATGTTACCTTATATCTTAAAACTTTATTAGAAACATCTGATGCACCGGAAATAATAAAAATAGTTTTATTTTTTCCTTTTTTTTCACCATATTTCGAAATTTATCGAAACTACTACCTCTTATCTCCCACAATGGATTACTACAAAAATATGTAAATTTTACTCTCAACACATTTTTACAATCTTTCAACTTATTTTCAAAATTTAATTTTCAACTCTTATCTGAGCAGAATGCATTTTATTTATTTCTGTGAAATAAAAAGTAAATAGAGGGTGGGCGTGATGTTTATTCTTAGATTACACTAATCTACAAGATTGTTGTTTTCTCTTGCTCTTTTAATGAGTGCTACAAAAATCAAAACAATGCCTATCAAAGCCAAATCCAAACGTGTGCCTACCATTTTCTTTCTACAACCCCCGCCCCCCCTAAAATAGTCACAAGATTATTTTGGAAAATTCCTTAATCCGAAAAATTGGATCAAACAACAAATAGTAAAGTGATAAAGTAACCATTAAAGTAGGCTAACACCAAGAAAATCTACACTCCCCAGCAACCAAGGTAGCCGCCATCCATGGGTGGCTGATAGACGAAATTTTGACGTAAATTTATAATTGTTATTTACTTTTATGAATCTCCGCGGATGAGATTTAGTGAATTTCATTTTCACGGGAATTAGTTGTTATCTCCACCCAACTTCTTGAGATAAACAAAACACAACAAAATATTAGTGAACAATAGAAACAACAACAACTATTAGATATCCCTGACATTGGACGAAGGAGAATGAGAACGAGAACGATAACACGATGCTATCTGATCTAATATAAAGATGCTGTCAGCGCTGACTGGAGTAATCAGTCTTGGACTGAAACTGAATCAAACTGTGTGTTCCCGTTGAATCTCCAGCAGCGGTCACCTTCAAATCGGCTACAGATTTCACTTTTGAGCTAAAAGATTTAAAGGATACTGCCCACTGCCGCGCTCCATCATGTTCGCCAATCCATTGCAAAAACCCACCACCAAGGGAAAGAGCTTCCAAGACCGTGAAGCGCCCCATCAATATGCTATATCCGATTATGGCTATGGCAAGGATGCTGTCAAGATCCTGCACGTTAAGAGGGACGGGCCAGTGCATTCGATAAAGGAATTTGAAGTTGGCACGCATTTGAAGTTGTACAGCAAAAAGGATTATTTCCATGGTGAGTTTTAGTGACAAATATCCGGACTTCAGAGAGCTGAGGTGCCGAATTTTTTCTAAACGAAAAAATCCCGACCTCAGGTCGGCAATTTTTCTGGACGAAAAAATCGAGGCCTCAAGAAACTGAGGTCGACATTTTTTCTGGACGAACAAATCCATACCTCAGAGAACTAAGGTCGACATTTTTTCAGGCGGCTGAGGTCGATATTTTTTCTAGACGAAAAAATCCAGACCTCAGAAAACTGCGGTCGAATTTTTTCTGGACCAATAAATTCAGACCTCAGAGAACTAAGGTCGATATTTTTTGTGGGCGAAAAAATCCAGGCCTCAGGCGACTGAGGTCTACATTTTTTCTGGACGAAAAAATCCAGGCCTCAGGCGACTGAGGTCTACATTTCTTCTGGACGAAAAAATCCAGGCCTCAGGCGACTGAGTTCTACATTTTTTCTGGACGAATAAATGGAGGCCTCAGGGAACTGAGGGTACATTTTTTCTGGACGAAAAAATCGACGCCTCAGGGAACTGAGGTTGACATTTTTTCTGGACGAAAAAATCCACGCCTCAGGGAACTGATGTCGACATTTTTTCTGGACAAAAAAAAATCCAGGCCTCAGGCTACTGAGGTCGACATTTTTTCTGGACGAAAAAAATCCAGACCTCAGGCTACTGAGGTCGACATTTTTTCTGAACGAAAAAAAACAGGCCTTAGGGAACTGAGTCGACATTTTTTCTGGACAAAAAAATCCAGGCCTCAGGGAAATGAGGTCCCGAAAAAATTTCAAATTTTTTTCTGTACCAAAAAATCCAGACCTCAGATAGCCGAGGTCGACATTTTTTCTAGACGAAAATCCCGACCTCAGGGAACTGAGATCGACATTTTGTCTGGACGAAAAAATCCAGACCTCAGAGAACTGAGGCCGACATTTTTTCTTAACGAAAAAATCCAGGCCTCTGGGAACTGAGGTCGAAATTTTTTCTGGACGAAAAATTGCAGTCCTCTGGGAACTGAGGTCGACATTTTGTCTGGACGAAAAAATGCAGGCCTCAGGGAACTGAGGTCGACATTTTGTCTGGACGAAAAAATGCAGGCCTCAGGGAACTGAGGTCGACATTTTGTCTGGGCGAAAAAATGCAGGCCTCAGGGAACTGAGGTCGACATTTTGTCTGGAAGAAAAAATGCAGGCCTCAGGCGACTGAGGTCGACATTTTTTCTAAACGAAAAAAATCTGGTCTCAGGGAACTGAGGTCGCAATTTTTTCTGGACGAAAAATTGCAGTCCTCTGGGAACTGAGGTCGACATTTTGTCTGGACGAAAAAATGCAGGCCTCAGGGAACTGAGGTCGAAATTTTTTCTGGACGAAAAATTGCAGTCCTCTGGGAACTGAGGTCGACATTTTGTCTGGACGAAAAAATGCAGGCCTCAGGGAACTGAGGTCGACATTTTGTCTGGACGAAAAAATCCAGGCCTCAGGGAACTGAGGTCGACATTTTGTCTGGAAGAAAAAATGCAGGCCTCAGGCGACTGAGGTCGACATTTTTTCTAAACGAAAAAAATCTGGTCTCAGGGAACTGAGGTCGACATTTTGTCTGGAAGAAAAAATCCAGGCCTCTGGGAACTGAGGTCGAAATTTTTTCAGGACGAAAAAATGCAGTCCTCAGGGAACTGAGGTCGACATTTTGTCCGGACAAAAAAATGCAGGCCTCAGAGAACTGAGGTCAACATTTTTTCTGGGCGAAAAATCCAGGCCTCAGGAAACTGAGGTCAATATTTTTTCTGGACGAAAAAATCCAGGCCTCAGGGAACTAAGGTCGACATTTTTTCTGGACGAAAAAATCCCGAACTCATGGAACTGAGGTGCCAATTTTTTTCTGGACAAAAAATCCCGACCTTAGGGAACTGAGGTCGACATTTTTTCTGGACGAAAAAATCCAGGCCTCAGGGAACTGAGGTCGACATTTTTTCTGGACGAAAAAATCCAGACCAACAGGGTGAACTGTGGGTCCTGAATTTTTTCTAGATGAAAAAATCACGAAACCGATTTACAATCCCCCCTCTCCTCACATTTTAGGCGATAACTCCGATATTGTGGCCACTGACTCGCAAAAGAACACCGTCTATCTGTTGGCCAAGAAGCATGGCATTGAAAACCCTGAGAACTTTGCCCTTCTGTTGGCACGTCATTTCATGCAGAAATATGCCCATGTCGAGGAAGTTCATATCCATGTTGAGGAGTATCCATGGCAGAGAGTCAGTGCCGAAGAGACCGGTTGTCAAGAAGGCAATGGTAACTGTAATTACACCAACATCAATAACAGGGCCAGACATAATCATGCCTTCATCTTTACACCCACCGAAATTCGTTACTGCGATGTGGTGCTGAGGAGGACCGGTGAGTGAGAAATGGGACCAAATTATGGCAACATATAATTTTATAACAAAATTTTGAAAATTCCTTACAGATCCCAAGCAAACTGTCATTAGTGGCATTCGTGGCCTGCGTGTCTTGAAGACCACACAATCGTCCTTCGTCAACTTTGTCAACGATGAGTTCCGTTCGCTGCCCGATCAATATGATCGCATTTTCAGTACCGTCGTTGACTGCTCTTGGGAATATTCCAACACCGATAAGGTCCTGTTCTGTAAATCCTGGAACATTGTCAAGAACATTATTATCCGGCAATTTGCCGGTGATCCAAATGTTGGCACCTCCTCCCCCTCGGTACAACACACCCTGTACTTGACCGAGAAAGAAGTTTTGGACACCCTGCCAGAAGTTTCGGTCATTTCGATGACAATGCCAAATAAACATTATTTCAATTTCGACACTAAGCCCTTCCAGGCCGTTGTACCCGGCGAGAATAATGAAGTCTTTATTCCCGTCGACAAGCCACATGGTACCATCTATGCCCAATTGGCACGCAAAGATATCGCCAGTCATTTGTAAAGCAAAGGCATTGTTTTTCTCTTTTTTTTGGCGGAATTCTATGGAATGTTATTTTTGGCTATGTCTTACGGTTGCGGTTATGATTTTAAGTTTTGAAATTATTTTTTTTTGTTATTCATATCTTATGTTCTCAATAATAATAATAAAAAAAAAGTTTGTAATGAAATGTTTAGATTGTTGAAATTATGTTGGGTTTTGGATGTTTGCTCGTGGAATTAACACCTATTTTGAAGTGGGGGTTACTCGGTAGCTGAATGGATTCTTTATGATTTGTTGTTCTTATAACAGTTGTCATTGCCGAAGATGATTCAAAGAATGGAATTTTGAATAATAGATAAACCGTTCGCTAGACAATGACTTAAAAATAACAACAGAGTTGCGGCTGCTAAACCATATTCTTATAACTTTCTTGATTACACAGTGCAACGCAAAAAATAGTTACAAGAAAAATCCAGCAGATTATGAAAGTAGAGCTAAAAATAGAAGACACGTGTATCGGCGTTTTGAAAGTTGACTTCAAAACCTAAATACAGGGGCAAGTTCTCGCCGCTTGTACTTTATTTGAAATTTCGGATTAAGATTTCTTGGATGTTGTCGGTTTTAAGTATACAAGGTGAGATAATAAAACTGCAACAAAGTCAAGCGCCATAATTTTTTCATTATTATACCCTCCACCATAGTATGGAGGGCCTGTCGTCTGTCCGTCTGTGGAAATCAAATGAAGTAATTTTATATAATTTTGCTCAAATATTATGTCTGCAGGAATTTTGGTATTGAAAATGGGCCATGTAGGTCCACGTTTTGGTATAGCCCCCATATAACGGTACCTCCCGATATTCGAAATTTTGATGATTTTAGCTACATTACACATCGATTTTTTTTAAGTTTCGCATTTGAATAGTGTATTGGCTTATGACCAAAGTTACCTATGCTGGTCCATGTCATCGTATACACCCTAATGTAACAGCTACATTCGGTATTCGGCAACAAATGTCGGAAATAAATTTTAGAATAGGTTTAGATTTCTTCGAATTGGTCACCTTTGGCACGAGTTATGGCCTTCAAACGGCCATTGAAACCGTCACATGATGCCCGAATGTTGCTCTGCGGTATTTTGGCCCATTCCCGGCGAAGCGCTTGCTTGAGGTGATCGACACTTTGGTATTTTTTAAAGCCAACATTTCCTTCCAAAATACTCCAGACACAATAGTCCAATGGATTGGTATCCGGAGATTTTGGTGGCCATTGTGCGCTGGAAATGAAGCAAGGAACCTGATTTTGTAACCATTCTTGGGTGGCGCGTGCTGAGTGCGATGGTGCTGAGTCCTGTTGGGATCTCTAAGGTCTGCGGCCAAAATGTTTGCGTGCCAAAGGCTTTAGTACACCCTTCAGAATATTTTCGCAATAATATTCGGCATTTATTTTGATGCCACGGTCGATTAATACGAACAAAGAGTGACCATCGGCTGTTATGGCGGTCCACACCATCACCATGGGCGGATCTTGAGTTCTGGTGACCAACCGAAGGTGCACATTTTCAGCTGACCTCTTTGGCAAGTAAACACGATCACTTTGTTTGTTTACAAACTGCTGGAAAACGAATGGTTTTCCATCGGAGAAAACCAAATTCGGCAGTTCACCACTTTCGGCCAAGCGAAGCAGCTCTTTTGAGTCTATTTTCTTTCCGTTGCGGTGTAAGTTCTTACACTTTTTGGAATTTAAATGGCTTAACCCCGAGCTCATTTTTCAATATTTGCCGAATGGAATATTGCGATATGTTCAGCTCACGTGTCATTTTTCGGCTACTGCGGCGCGGGTTACGATCATTTACTTTTTACTTTTTTACTTTTCGAACCATTTCTGCTGATGTTGCTGCTTTCTTCCGTCCATTTCCTTGCGGTCGGCCTACGCTACCAGTATCACGTTAACGAGCGATGGTACGAGACCTAAAAGATTTATTCACATTTAAATGCTGAAGTGCTCTAACCATATCCACTTGTGATTTTCCAACCAAATATAAAGAAATCACACTATCACTCTTGAATTCTATCACGAATAATTTTTTTTTCTGGAAAATTCTCACCAAAATGCTTTTGTACGCTTGTAAACAATATAATGAGCTGTCACTGTAATACATTTAACAGCTGTCGAACGAGTGGCTTAGAAATTACAGCAGTCTAAAGTTGGTTGCAGTTTTTTCATCTCACTCTGTATATACACTAAATAGCCATATGGCTGAACAAATCCACGTTCTGATGGTAATTGAAAAAAAAAATATTCTTAAGTAATCCAAGATAATAAATCCGAAATTTCCTAACCAAAAAAAACAATTAAGCAAAGGCTATAGTCGTGCGGGGCCGACTATGTTATACCCTACAACACTACAGTATGTTAGAAACCTCCTTATGTTCAAATCCATATTGGAAGATTTCGCTTTTGAAATTAGGATTTTGACTAGGGACATTTGCCCAATATTTATGCACACCGTCGTACTGTTAGTTGTTGTAGTCCATTTTACAGCTAAATATAATCTAATGTTCATCCAAAATGATAGAATTCTTCCCTGTCCTTAACTCTCTTCACAGGCGTGTCGATTGACTTCAATTGTGTGATCGGAAAAACATTTCTGTTTTTGGATAATTTGAACCTCTAAATATTTTGCAATCATCTCCAAAAGCAAGACCCCCCTCTATATCTCCAAATTTAGACTCATCTATATGATTTGCTTGTCTAAGTATTTGGCTACATTCGTCAACGAAATCAGCCTAAAAAATCCAGAAGTTCGCCTTTTGGGTATTTCGGATATCGCTGGTATTAATGGTAATGCTGATATTTTTTCACACAAAGTTAGTGGTCTATTGTACCCGCTGTCCTAAACTCTAACTTTATGCGAGATTTCGTGTCCTTTGGTTTCTATTTGTGACCTTTATAACGGCTGCAAAATCAGGAAAAATTTTAGTCGTTGGTCCATTTCAACCCCTAATATATTGCGGACATCTTTGAAAACAATAGGGCTAGCCCTTCTGAGCCCAACTCTACCCTTGTGAAAATTTTCGTGAGGATCGGACGATATTTGCAATCCTTATATAATAAATCCAACCTGTGTTGTAAGGTGAAAAATATTAAAAAATATTATAAGTCAAATTGAAAAAATCGCATGCGATAAAAAATATGAAAAAATAAATAAATGTCACAAAATACTACAAAATCTATATTAACATCATTATTGACATATTTTTCTGCGATTTTCTGCCCAGCCCTAAGCTCTAGCCCCATGCTAATTTCCGCGTCAATTGGTCTATTTTTTTCAGTTTTTGGTCCATTTCAACCCCTAAATGTTATGCGATCATCTCCAAAAGAAATAGGGTTCTATTCTGACTCTAGCCCCACCTCCATTCTAAATTTCGTGAAGATCGGGCCATAATTGCGCCCTATAGAGTGATTACAAATTAACATGGACAGACGGACATACATAGCTAGATCGACTCAGATCGGCGAGATAGGAAGATCCATATATACTTTCCTATGTGGGAAACCAATATTTCGTGGTGTTACATAATTTTTGGCCCAATCAAACTTATACAACACATAGTGCTGTAGGGTATAAAAATCCACGTTTGTAGCTCTGCTATATTATATTCCTGAAAGTCTGCTTTTAAAGCTATGCTAGTGTCACACGTTTCTAGTTTAACTAGTCCTTACAAAGAATGATCTTAAAAGACCCTCGATTATAGCTCTTCTGATCTTTAAAAAAATATTCTTAAAATCTCCAATATTATAATCCCAAAAACAAAAAGAAATAAAAAATTTTGATCTTCGAGACGTTAACAATTTAAGACTATAATTCTGCAATTTCTTTAGAAATACTCCTTAATATCCCATGCCTGTAGCAGTACTGCTCCTTTAAAAATATTCTTAGAAATACATGTTTGTAGCACTGCTGGTGCCTTGAAAATATCCAAAAATTTTGTTCTGTTGCTGTCTTGAAAAATATTCTTAAAAAAATCAAGTCTGTAGCACTGCGAGTCAATAAAAAAGTATATAAAAATTCACCAATAAAGTATAACAAAAAAATATAATTTATTATAATTTAAAAAATCCGCATTTAACAAAAAATATATTACATTATCTTACGCTATATAAACTACATACTTATATACAAATAAATACATATAACAATAAATAAAATATATATTTTCAACATTAGAACCCTATCTCCTCACAACAGCATTTACCAAATGACAGTTATCGAAATTACATAAAATCATCAGAGCCAAAGTATCGGAATTTTCCGCAATTTCCAGCGAATCATCGACGTATGGTATTGCCATATGTAGGTTGGGATAATAACCATAGGTTTTATGGACCCAACCCTGAATATAAGAATATTTGTAGAGATGATAATATGAACCCTCCTTATCATCCAATATCACCATCAAATAATTATCGTTTTTAAGTGAAAAGGTAAACAGTTTGTTTATCGGCGATTTGAGGGATAAAATTTGGTAAATTTGATAGTTGGTAGGAACATCCTGCAGCGAGGGTTCGTAAATGTAAATTTTATGACACTTGTGACAGCTCAATATCAGCTGATGATAATCAAGGGCATTGTGTGGGAGTTGTATCATTTCGATAACATCATAATCGCCATCGATAATTTGTTGAAATTTGAATTTTTGTGAGTGTTTTTCAAAGTGATATACTGTCAGGGCGGGGTGATTGTGAACTGGGCCATTTGTCAGTAACCAAGTGTGATTCTGGGTGTGGAAAAGTTTCACTTTTTCTCCAATGTTCGATATCAAACCCTGCCAATCGGCGATGCTGTTATTGTGATAATCGATTTTAAAAATACGCACTTCATTACGCCTACGACTGGGTAAATCTAAACCATGTAGTATTACGAATTCCTCTTGCCCCTTGGGGGCCATAATGTGTATGGATTCCACATATCTTTTCATGCCAAAAACCTTGAAAAGTTTCGTGGCACTGATGGTGATTTTCGATTTCACCTTGCCGTGTTTTGGTTTACAAAAGTTTTCCACCTTTACGGCCACATTGCCCTGGAAGGCTGACAAACGATTTGAGGTTATGTTTTCAAGTTGTATTTCAAACCCTCTCTTTTGGGGGAGTGAGATTTTCAAATATTGTTTCTCACAACAGGAGAGGCGTGTCAATTCTCTCAGTCTCACCAAATTCCTCTCTGTGACATTTGTTGTTTGCCATTTTATGGAGGTTTTTACATCATAATCCAAATACAAAATATCGCCAGAGTTCGATGACAACTTGTTATCGATCATTTTTAGTAAATCCATAAAATCAGGTCCATTGGTTTGATTTTCCTTTAAAACATCCCCAGCAAATGATCTCTGTTTCATTTCGGAATTTAAAACATTCAAACCCTTTTCAAATGTCACCTTATCGATAATCAAGTTATCGAATTGATAATTACGATTCTTAAACAAGGAGTTGCGATAAATTTCCATAAGATCCTTGCCATTTAGGTGTCTTATATGGGCTGGGCCAGCCAACTCCAAATAGGAACTCACAGTTTTGTGGCCCTTAATTGTCTGCAAATGTGGACTGTGGCGGAAAACCATGTTATCGATGGCTATGCCATTGATACTTTGCAGAAGGGCAGCATTTTTGATAACTAAATTCTCAAATGTTAAGTGACCAAATACCTCCAAGGCCGGCCCCTCCAGGGGTATACGTTGTTCCAAGAAATATTCCATATCCATGTGATTGATTCGCCGCAACTCCATGCTGTTATCGATGAACAGCTGATTGGCCTTCACGACAGGTAAGGTGTTATTATCGCCTATTTGATAAATCTGGGAAATATTTACCCCATTTAACAAACCTCTCAGGGACATGTGACCTATATTCAAGGGTGCCGAAAACTTTAGGGGACCCTTTAACGGCTCCTTGCTCGATAAACGATAAAGGGAGTTATTAAATAACAAAACGTCGATATTATTTACATGACCTGCATTTATCGAACCCAACACCTCCATTTGTTCCATAAAAACCGGCTGCAGGAATAGCTTGGGCGCCATTATTACTTGGCTCTCATTGGAATTCCTATCCAAGGCATCTTGATCGATAAATTCCAAATCGATATTTCCGGGGAATTTTAGGCGCGTTCTCATTTTATCGATTAATGGATATATCAACTTAACATTGCCACTGATAACTTGATCTCCATTCGATTTTACGGCATATTTATACAAATATTTCAGCAATTCATAATCGGTATTTATGCTTAACGAATCCGTGGGCCATTTCAGATTTCCCTTCACCTTTAAATTCCGCCAGGATTTCTTGGTAAAATTGTTCAGTTTTTCCAAAATGTTATCAAACTGGAACTCCTCTTTCATCGGGCCTTTTAAGTTACCCCTCACCACAACCTTGGGTGCCATTATATCACCCAAAACCTCCACCTCCCCCGGTGACAATGACACAAACTCCTTTACCTCCTTATTATTTATCGATAACACATCCAAATTCGATAACTGCAAATTGTCGAATGTATACTGGCCCGTTATAAGTTGAGGCTTACTTTTAAGCAAAATATTATTGAAAATATTTTGTAAATCGTAATTATTAACCTCAGGCGCCAGCAGATCCTCATTCACCACAAAATCTCCCGCAAAACATACTTTCCCCTCGATAACAGCCGATTCATGATTCCTTACCAAACCTGCCACATATGCATTCCATTCCAATTCATTGATATATTTCAATTCCAATGGTTCGGCAAACAAAACATTGCCCTCAACTATCAAATCCTTGCGCAAAATCAGCTGATCCTTTTCCACATTCAGTTTCGTGAAGAAATCATCGAAAGGTATGCCATTAATTTTATGGAACACAATATTGGAGGCCATCAAGGTATACGAAACCGATATGTAATCCATATGGTAATCATAATTCAGCAAATCTTCCAGGGGTAAATTATTCAAGTTCATTGCCTCAATACCCTTTTCCACGAAGCAGGGATTACGCACAATTATCTTATTGAAAAACTTGCACCCCTGGAATTTTATGGTTGTGGCCAATTCGGGTTTGAAAACCAAGTCATCAATGGCAATACCGTTCAAATTTGGAGTCTCCATTTCATTAGTGGCCAAGGGGGCTTGGAAATGCTTTTTACCCGTTATCACAGCCACATCTCCTGGTCGTATGATATTTTCCTGGATTTCCGCCAACTTAGATTTATAATCCCTGCACACAACATCTCCGGGCACCTCAGCTTTCATAAACACCAACAACAATGGTTTTGAGGTATTGACCTTATCCACCAGCATGTGTTCCTCCGTTATGTGGTCATTTAAATAACGAGTCTCCACGTTGGGCGCCACCACCTTACCATTATCAAATATTACCGGAAATTGGAAATTCTAAAAATTGAAAATCATTAACATTTAACATTATTTTAAGAATCTGAGATCTCCATACCTGTTCTTCATTTTTCAATAAATAATTCTCCCTAATTTCGTCCTCTTTGAATTCCTCATCGCCAATTATGATTTTACTTTCGTTCTCCTTGTCCCGCCTCACATTTCCCAACACCAAAGTTCCATTGATGACCACCTTTTTTGTGTAGAATTGTTTAAATTCCATTTCATCGGCATTTTGGCGTTCAATTTTTTTATCGGCCACTATAAGGTCCCCGGATATGCTAAGGTGATGCATGGTCACGGGAGCTAAAAGGAGAATAAGAGAGGTATTAAAAAGAGGAAATAAAAAAAAAACTCAGGGGGATGATGAGAAAAAAGAAAAAGGAAACTCCTCAGACCTCCGTCTATAGAAAAAACTCCCCTCAGACCTCCGTCTGCGGACGGACTTTTTTCTCTGGGAAAAAATCTCTTGAGACCTCAGTCTGATGACGGATTTTTTTTCTGAAAAAATCTCCTCAGACCTCCGTCTGAAGACAGTCTTTTTCTCTAGAAAAAATGTCCTTAGTCTGAGGTCGAACTCTTTTCTATAGAAAAAAATCTCAGACCTCCGTCCGAGATGTACTTTTTTATAGAAAAATTCAACTCAGACCTCCGTCAGAGAACGGACTTGTTTCTATTGAAAAAATTCGTCCCAGGTCCCAGCCTGAGTTGTACTTTTTTCTATACAAATATTTTGCTCATGTCCCAGCCTGAGTTGTATAGAAAAAAAAATTCGCTCAGGGGACCCCTGAGATATAATTTTTTCTATATAAAAAATTCGGCTCAGGGGACACCTGAGTTGTATAAAAAAAAATCTGATCAGATGCCAGCCTGAGAATGACTTTTTTCTATAGAAAAAAATCAGCTCAGGCCCCCAGCCTGAGAATGACTTTTTTCTATAGAAAAAAATCTGCTCAAGCCCCAGGCTGAGAATGACTTTTTCTAAAAAAAAATTGGCTCAGGCACAGCTTGAGTTGTACTTTTTTCTATAGAAAAAAATCGGCTTAGGCCCCAGCCTGTGTTGTACTTTTTTCTATAGAAAAAAATCGGCTCAGGCCCCAGCCTGTGTTGTACTTTTTTCTATAGAAAAAAATCGGCTCAGGCCCCAGCCTGTGTTGTACTTTTTTCTATAGAAAAAAATCGGCTCAGGCCCCAGCCTGTGTTGTACTTTTTTCTATAGAAAAAAATCGGCTCAGGCCCCAGCCTGTGTTGTACTTTTTTCTATAGAAAAAAATCGGCTCAGGCCCCAGCCTGTGTTGTACTTTTTTCTATAGAAAAAATTCGGCTCAGGCCCCAGCCTGTGTTGTACTTTTTTCTATAAAAAAAAAATCGGCTCAGGCCCCAGCCTGTGTTGTACTTTTTTCTATAGAAAAAAATCGGCTCAGGCCCCAGCCTGTGTTGTACTTTTTTCTATAGAAAAATATCGGCTCAGGCCCCAGCCTGTGTTGTACTTTTTTCTATAGAAAAAAATCGGCTCAGGCCCCAGGCTGAGTTGTACTTTTTTCTATAGAAAAAAATCGGCTCAGGCCCCAGCCTGTGTTGTACTTTTTTCTATAGAAAAAAATCGGCTCAGGCCCCAGCCTGTGTTGTACTTTTTTCTATACACAAAAATCGGCTCAGGCCCCAGCCTGAGTTGTACTTTTTTCTATAGAAAAAATCGGCTCAGGCCCCAGCCTGTGTTGTACTTTTTTCTATAGAAAAAAATCGGCTCAGGCCCCAGCCTGTGTTGTACTTTTTTCTATAGAAAAAAATCGGCTCAGGCCCCAGCCTGTGTTGTACTTTTTTCTATAGAAAAAAATCGGCTCAGGCCCCAGCCTGAAAATGATTTTCTTTTTCTATAGGAAAAATCTGCTCAGGAATGCCCCTGAAAATGCATTTTTTCTATAGAAAATAATTCTGAAACTCCTTAGGCCCTTCTGCTTCTGGACCTAAGATTTTTTTAAGAGAATTTTGGTTAAATTAAGAGATTTAAAAATGTCTAAAACTCACTCTCCACATAGGCATCCCGGCCACTAAACACAACATCTTCCTCAAATTTCAAACCATTTACGGTCTCGGTTTCCAGTTCCCGCACAAAAAATCTCGATATCTTGAGCTTAGAATTCACCACTTGCGACTGACGCATATTGAACAGTTTATCCACCTCCAAGTGATTTAGCATCGTGGTCTTCAAATGCTGAACCTCAACCAGGGGGGATTGAAAAATTAAACGTCCTTTGATTTGAATATCACGATTTTTTAAAAATATCGATTCATAAAATTTCGACCATGGTATGCCGTTGATGGAAGTGACCTGTAAATGTTTGGCTCGTATTGAAGGTGTCAGGCCATAGTATAGGTCGGGGACAAATTGCCGGGTGGCTCGCACGTTGGAAGGTTCTACAATTTCGGTGGCATTTAGCAGGTGGGTTTTGATCCTAGGCTCTATTAGGAGTTTTCCAGATGTTCGATTGTGGGAGAAGCCTGAAAGTAGAAGAAATGGGTTATTTTTGGGAGGCGGCATGGGGAGGGGTTTTGAATGGGTTGGGGTATTACCTTTGATGACCTCATGGGAGTATATTAGGTTTTGAATCTTCACTTTCTTGGCTTTTATTTGCCTTCCCATTTCTAGGGTTATCGATAAGGGTCCCTCGCTGTGGGAGCGGGCTTCTCTCAGCCGACCTGATAAATATTTTCCTTTCAGTTCCTCAATTTTAGTTAATATTTCCTGGGGACTCTTTAACATTGGATCAAGAATTTGTATTTTCTTTACTCTCCCCGAATTGATGGCAATGGGAGTTGTGGATTTAACTTCCCTTCTGGGTCTAAAGGCAGCACTTAACGAACGAAACATACCACCAATGGAACCATACGACGGCTGTCTTGGTCGACTTGCTGGGGGTTGCGGGGCCATATTCATAATTTGCTGAAACATGTTCGTTAATGAACCCCCTCTCCCGCCTCTCTGTTGGGACGCAGATGACCTGGCGCCAGTAAAACGATTGAGTATTTCCGAAAGGGGATTCGATGATCTCTCCTGTGCTTGCGCCCTTCTCGAGGATGAAAATACATCCGTGAAACGTTGCAAAATATTCGGTTGAGATTGGGTCCGACGTTGAGGATTGAAAAGATTTTGAAAGCCATTATCTTGTCGCTCTGGCAGGAAACTTCTCAACTGTTCAGCCATGGATATAATCAGCTGTTTGGGTGAGTCGACTGGAAAGGAAAAATAATTTCTTTCAAAGATTTAGAAATTCCAAGGAAAAATACTCTTCCCCACCTGCCCTTGTCATGCGATATTTTTCACCCAATTCCAATTCCACAACACGTATCAGCAGCTTAAAAGGCGTTTTGAAAAGCATCAACAGATAATTTTCCCCATGAGGTCCCCGGTAGTCCATCAAATCCGATATGGTCCACAAATCCGAAGTAAAACTTCCATAACAATCCAAATGATAATCTGTGAAAATCATAATTCGATTCTGGTGCGATACCATAAGAAATTCCCTCGAAGCCTTAAAATGAGAAAATGAGAGATTCTCATTTTCTCTCTGCTGGAATAACTCAAAATTCCCATCTCGGTTTTGTAAATATGTCTGGCATCGGGGATTTTTCCAAGAACAGGCCACAATTAGATTTTCTCCTTGGAACGTTGTGCTATGCAACACTTGGGAATCCAACATGAAGGTTTGCTTGATTTTCAAATTCAAGGAGACTGGATCAATTTCATAGATGGTGAGGAGGGTCTGGGGGGATGGGAATGGTATTAAATGTAAAAGTGGGGATCGGATGACAATTAGCTTACCTTGGTTTGTTGCTTAATGGACTTTCCGGTAATTAAAAATTTTCTTTCCGTACCAATGACATTTACCACACTCAAGGCCGGTACAGTCAATTCTTGTAGGGATTCAAACTCATTGCCGTTCCACTTGAAAGAGCTAAAAATAAAAATGGAATTTTGAGAATATTTTTTAAATTAATAACTGGGTTGCTAGGAGAATTTTTTGAAGAAAAATGTCAGAACAGTTTCAACAAAAAACAAGTAAGGAAAAGTCAAAAGTCGGGCGGGGACTATGTGGTACCCTACACAGTATGTATATTTAGTGGAGCTCCCGTAACAAAAGAATTTATTTGAAGTGGATTATACCAGAGGCTACAACCAATTTCAGACTGCTGTCATTTCTAAGCCACTCGTCCGACAGCTGTTAAAATTATTCCAGTGACAGCTCATTATATTGTTTACAAGCTTACAAAGGCATTTTGGTGAGAATTTTCCAGAAACAAATTTATTCGTGATGGAGTTCAAGCGGGACATCAGCAGAAATGGTTGGAAAAGTAAAGAAGCGACTTGACCGAAACCCGCCTCGCAGTGGCCGAAATGGCTCATGAGCTGAACATGTCGTAATATTCCATTCGTCAAATATTAAAAAATGAGCTTGGGGAAAAGTCATTGAAATTCAAAAAAGTGCAAGAACTTACACCGCAGCAGAAAGAAAATATACTCAAAAGAGCTAAAGAGTTGCTTCTCTTAGCCGAGGGTGGAGAACTGCCGAATTTAGATTTCTCCGATGAGAAAACATTCGTTATTTAGCAGTTTATTAATAAACAGCTGAAAATATGCACCTTCGGTTGGACACCAGAACTCAAGCGCCGACCATGGTGATGGTGTGGGCCGCCATAACAGCCGATGGGCGCTCTCCGCGCGTATTAATAGACCATGGCATCAGAATAAATGCCGAATATTATCGCGAAAATATTCTGGGGGGTGTATTAAAGCCTTCGAACAAATCTAAACTTATTCTAAAATTTCATGCTACTTTTGACATTATTTACTTTCATTCAATAAAATTCGGAAAAAAATGTAAAAACTATGGCATATGACTTTGTTGCAGTTATTTTTATCTCACCCATATATAAACTTAACTGGAGGAAAAATCCAAGATCAGCCAAAGGTCGGCTACTTAAAAAAGCTATAAAGTTTAAACACCTGTTATTAGAGAAAATATCAATATCATGATTTTTATGACCAATATCTTAGGAATTACGAGACATATCGCCACATATGGCACCATTTTAGAAAGGCAAGAGAACTTAGACTATATACACTATAATGTGGTACATTAAACTTACTATACCATTTAGGACCATTTTCTATTCTTCGGGGGTTTTTCAAAAATGTTCGCTCCCAAAGTACCAACTTTCTGTATTACTACTGAACCGGTTAAAATAACACCATTATATGTTTGATAACTGGATAGGTTGTTTCATAAGCTTTTAAATGAAACCCATATTGTTGAGTGGAACCGGATAATCGAATTTTGCATCCGAGTTTTCGGGTCGAAAAACCGGGTAACTGGATATTTTACCCATAACAAAATTACTTTGCTCCATAAATCGGATCGGTTATGTAAAATCGGATAAAAACCGGATTTTGTATCCGAACTTTCGGTTCGAATAACCGGGTAATTGGTTGTTTCCCCACGAAAAAAATAATTTGCTCCCTAAATCGTATCGGTTAAGTAAAGCCCGATAAAAACCGGCTTTCAAATGATACCCTTATTAATCGGTTAAGTTAAAGTGGATAAAAACTGGTTTTTGTATCCAAATACCCGGATCGAATAACCGGGTAACCGGTTATTTTCCCCATAACAAAATTACTTTGCTCCATAAATCGGATCGGTTATGTAACATCGGATAAAAACCGATTTTGTATCCGAACTTTCGGTTCGAATAACCGAGTAATTGGTTATTTCCCCGTGAAAAAAAACGCTTTGCTCACTAAGTCTTATCGGTTAAGTAAAGCCGAATAAAAACCGGATTTCAAATGACACCCACATTAATCGGTTAAATAAAACCGGGTAAAAACCGAATTTTGTATCCGAACTTTCGGGTCGAATAAACGGGTATCCGGGAATTTCCTCCATGAAGAAATTACGTCGCTCCCTAAATTTTATCGGTAAAGTTGAACCGGATAAAAACCGGATTTTTTATCCGAACTTTCGATTCGAATAACAGGGTAACCGGGTATTTCCCCCACGAACAAAAATTTCTTTGTTCCCTAAATCTTATCGGTTAAAAAAAGCCGGATAGAAACTGGATTTCGTATACGAAATTTCGGGTCGAATAACTCAGGGTAAAAATACCGACCTATAATAAAAATTTGAAAGCAATCCCAGCATATCCCCTAAATCAGCTTACTCCCTAAATCACTTCCCCCCACACCACGATAAAATTACTTTGCAGTAACCAGGGTAAAAATTCCGACCAATGATAACAATTTCAAAGCGATCCGAGCATAGCCCCTAAAATCAACTTCCTCCATAAATATTAATATGCATAACACACCCTCGCACAAATGGTGCACTATAGGTCCACGTTTTGGAATAGACCCCAAATAGCTATATCCTGTTATTTTGTAGGCGTAGCCACATTATTTAACTGAATAGCCTATAATTTTCTTTTTCGAGTTCGTGAATTTGGAAAAAACTTTAATTCCCGAATATTTCCAACTTACCCAATTTTTCCATGGAGTTTTGAAAAACCTGACGTAACAATTAACATTACTCCATTGTCCTGGATTCTAAGTAAAAATAACTTTTGAAAATGGCCATGCACAGTTAGCTGCTGAATGACCTCAAAAACTGGAGCCTTTTCCACAAATTCTTGGGGTTCTCTTAGCAATTTTGCACGATTTTCCAAAATATCTTTGCGTAGCCTATATATCTCCAAGTAGTCATCTAAAGCCACAACCAATATATAGTGGCCATTCCAGGATATGATCTGCAAGATTATGAATTGCATATTTATATTCAATTAATTAAAAATAAAATCATTTTTCTCACTTCAGCTGCCAAGGGTTCCACGATTTTCACATTCCCTTCCAAATAGCCCATCAGGCTAATACGTTTGTCTTCATGGCCGAAAAACATCTGAAATAACTCCTGACCATGAACAATGAAGATGCCCTCTTCTTTTGGATCCTGTGCAACATGGGTGTTCCGTTCCACTTCTATTTCAATATCCAAGAATGGTCGTTTGAAATCAATGGGTTTGGGTCTCTCCGATGGTTTCTTTTGCTCCACAGTGTGGTGTAAAGGAGGATGCCCTATTGCAGGATTTTCTATTAAGGGAAATGGATGCAGAATACATGGTGGCGGTGGTGGTGGAGGTTCTGAAAACCATACCGGGGTGAATGGATGAAATTCCGCTTGCAGGTGTTGTTGTATGAAATCGGCATGAATCTGGGGGGAAATTGAGAAACACTTCCAAATTTATTATTTTCGATATCGATATTTCATATAACTTACCTGTTGGATAATGAAAATAATCCAAACCGTTTTTCTAAGGATCATTTTTGATGAAATGCCTTTTCCCAATTTTTTTTATTTTTTAATACTGCATTTGTTGTTTTTGTATTTTTTTCAATTCTTCTTTGCTCTGAACAAGATCAATAAACCGACTAGCATGGTTTCATTACTTTTGGATTGTAACTTAACGGAATTTTTGTTGTTATTTGTGTAAGGGAACGAAATTGGTGCATTTTGACAGATTCCCTTTGAATTGAAATCGAAATACAGTGGAGGACAAATGTGGTGCCTTCTGCGTAGTACATATAAAGGGTAATGTTTTAGCTATCATCCGTGGAGAATCCACAAATTATGAAGGTAGAGCTAAAAATAGAAGACATGTGTATTGGTTTTTTAAAAGTTTACATCGCAAAGTAACCTAAATAGATCTGAGGCAAGTTCCCCCTCTTCCAGACTTTAAGATTCGTTGGAATCCGTGCATTTTAGTTATATAGTGTCTTCGGCAATATTGTACATAACAAGTAAAAAAACATTAAGTTCGGCCGGGCCAAACTTTTAATACCCTCCACCTTAGGGTAAAGGAAACATTAGAAGAAATTTGACAACAACCATTAAAATGTCGAATATTGGGAGGTATCGTTATATGGGGGCTATACCAAATCGTGGACCTACACATGCAATGTTTCGTCATTATGACCTACAAATACCAATTTTTACACCAATCCGCGAAAATATGTGGCAAAAATTATCAAAATACCCTATATTCGGAGGTACCGTTATATGGGGGCTATACCAAAACTTGGACCTATAATTACAATGACTCGCCAATGACTCGAACTGGGACCCATTATGACCTACAACTACCAATTTTCAGAGAAATTCGTGAAAAAATGTGTCAAAAATCATCAAAATACCGAATATTGGGAGGTACCATTATATGGGGACTATACCAAAATGTGGACCTATACATAAAAACGCCACACGAACTAGACCCACAAATACCAATTTTTAGACAAATCAGTGCAAAAATGTGGCAAAAACCACCAAAATACCGAATATCGGGAGGTACCGTTATATGGGGACTATACCAAATCGTGGACCCATACATTCAATGTTTCGCTACCGGAGCTGGAACCCATTATGACCAACAAATACCAATTTTTAGACAAATCCGTGAAAAAATGTGGCAAAAATAATCAAAATATCGAATATCGAGAGATACCTTTATATGGGGGCTATACCAAAACGTGGACCTATACATGCAATGTTTGGCCACACGTACAGGGACCCGTTATGACCTACAAATACCAATTTTCAGACAAATCCGTGAAAAAATGTGGCATAAATCATCATAATACCGAAAATCGGGAGGTACCATTATATGGGGATTATATCAGAACGTGAACCGATATATCTCATTTTCGATACCAACCATCCTAGACACAATACAAATTGCTTTGCTAAATTTTGGCGTTCTACGTCAAATAATGTGGGCTGTATCGTAATTTCAACAGACAGACAGACGGACATCGTTAAATCCACTTAGAATTTTATGCTGATTATGAATATATATACTTTATGGGGTCTAAGACGAATATTTAAGGATGTTACAAACGGAATGACAAAGTTAATATACCCTCCTTTCCAAGATGGAGGGTATAAAAATACGAGGAATATTTTAGTCAACAATTTTAACACTCAAACACTCAACATGGGGGTCTCTTTGGTACTTTTTTGAAAATATGGTTAAAATCTCCCTTCAAACGGTATCCTAGGAAGACAAAATATTCTACAGAATTATTTACCATAAAATTCTACTAAGGGTCCTAGAAGACATCAAAGGTCTAAGGGTGGAAATACATAAAGCGCTTATCTGGCTGGCTTAGGTCATCGGCTGGTTTCTTCGTAGATGAACGAAGAGTTTTAGGTTGATTTAGTTCGATTTTGGCCGTATGGTCCTATTTTTTATCATACGGGTGTGATGAAAAAAACGGCAACTAACTTCAGACTGCCACTCGTCCGACAGCTGTTAAAATTATTCCCTTTTAACCTTATTAATGTGAATAAATCTTTTGTGTCTCGAACCATCGCTCGGTGATACTGGTAGCGTAGACCGACGTCAAGGAAGTGGACAGAAGAAAACAGCAACATCAGCAGAAATGGTTCGAAAAGTAAAGAAACGACTTGATTGAAACCCGCGTCGCAGTGGCCGAAAATGGAAAATGGCTCGTGAGCTCAATATATCGCAATATTCCATTCGGAAAATATTGAAAACATAAGCTCGGGGTTAAAGAGTTGCTTCGCTTGGCCGAAAGTCGTGAACTGGCGAATTTGGTTTTCTCCGATGAGAAAACATTCGTTGTCCAGCAGTTTGTAAACAAACCAAATGATCGTGTTTATTTGCCAAAGAGGTTAGCTGAAAATGTGCATCTTCCGATGGCCACCAGAATTCAAGCGCCGGCCATGGTGATGGTGTAGCCATAACAGCCGATGGTCGTTCTCCGCTCGTATTAATCGACCGTGGCATCAGAATAAATGACGAATATTATCGCCAAAATATTCTGCCTTGGGCATGCAAACATCTTGGCCGCAGATCTTGGACATTACAACAGGACTTAGCACCATCGCACTCAACACACTCCACCCAAAAATGGTTACACTGTACTTATTGTGTTGCACAGTATTATTTAAAACTAGATTTAGATTTTCAATAAATCCGATTTTAATTTATTTCGCCTTATTCGCCAAATTCAGTTCATTTACAGTTTTGTTTTGCGACAGCATTTTCATTGAGCAATTCAGGCGATTGTGTAAATCATTTAAATTATTTCGCATACTGGAGGTTTCCTTGGAAATTGTACTGAGATCTTGTTGTATTTGGCGTTGATCTTCCAACATTGAAGTGAAAACGGCATTCTGTTGCTTCAGCTCACTCAAACGCTTTTGACTCACAAAATTATTAGCATCATCGACGGTTGGTATGGAATTGTGGCGACGTTTCTTTTCCTTGTGATCACAGAGGACTTTTAAACGGGGAATATTAGATGTTTTACTCAATGGATTCTCATGCGTGGTTTTCATAACATCCTTCGTGACACTTGGGTTCGGTGTGGTGTAAACGGCTTTATATTTATTAGATTTTCCAACATGGGGTATAACACTCCTCGGTTTTGTTTTAGCCTCTGAAAATATTCTTATTTACACATAGTACAGCTAATTTGATTTGATTTATTGAACTCACCTCTAAGCTGGGTATAGATATGGGCAAAAATCCCATTAATGTTCCCCTGATGATAGGAATGCTGTGATCCATTTGGATTCGTATGAGATACACTTCCATTCTGCTTTTGTTTCATATATTTCAAATTGAAATAGTCAATCTTGGAATGCTGCCGGATTTGCTTATCAACCATTTTTGATAAATCCAAACGATCCATTTCTATTTTTTTTTTTTTAATTTTCACAGAGAATTTTGAATTAAATTAATATATAATATTTTTTTAATATATTTCTAATTAACATCTGAAAATTTTGAAATAAAATACATTTGTCACTATTGCAGTGACAAATTACAAATTGTTTATTTTAATGGAAATCATGTTAAATAGTGTAGTTTATTTTTAGGCGCAAATTATGTTTTACTAATATCCTATTTACATAGACATAAAATATTTATGCAACAAGTGGTCTTTTCCAGAAATGCAATAATGTCAAATTTTTACTATGATAACCGATTTTACCTTTATGATATCGAAAAAATTGCAAAACTAGGAGATTCTTGCAGGTTCTGGAACAGCCCTAAGGCTACATTTACATTGAAACACAGTTATTTATCACGATATATCGGACACATGTTTATATTAGTTTATCTTGATTGGTCGCCAATGTAAATGTAACCCCAAATAAAATCACAATTTCAGATAATACCACTGGGACTCAATTCATCTTCTTGTTAAAAAAAGAAAAAGAAAACTTTTATAAAGGCATGGTATAATTAAAAAAGTAAAGTCATTTCAAATAAGACTCTACCATGATACAATGAAGAGAAGGTAGGCTAATTTAATTAAAACCAGTAAAGAAAGTCTTAAAGTCGGGCGGGGCCGACTTTATGATACCCTACACCACTTTGCTAATTTAGTAGAGCTCCACATAACAATTAAAAGTTTTTATGGGAGAATTCAATCATACACGCTATGATTATAATTATAATTATAATTTAAAGTTCAAAGGACTAAACATGCCGAAGAATTTGTATCTTTTAAATTCGGACTTGTATTGACCATTTGGTGCACAATTAATTTGAAATCGGATAAATATATATCTGAACCGATCTCGATAAAATTTGGCAAAGATATTTCTGAGCTGTATTTGATATATTTCCCTGAATATCGTTGTTACGGAGTGTATATTACGGTTGTGGGTAACAAATATAACAAATCGGTTGAATAATATATATGGAAGCTATAGCTATATCTGAACCGATCGTCACCAAATTTGACGTACTAGCTTCTAGTCTCAATTCGGTCGTATGTGCCAAATTCCATCCCATTTGGACAAATATTAGACGTTTGGTGCACAATCAAAGGTAAATCGGACGAAGTTATATATGAGAGCTATATCCAAATCCGAACCGATCTCGATAAAATTTTGTAAATGTATTTCTGAGCTGTTTTTAATATATTTCCCCAAATATTGTTGTTGCAGAGTGCATATTACGGCGGCGGTGGACAAATATAACAAATCGGATGAACAATATATATGGGAGCTATAGCTATATCTGAACCGATTTCGATCAAATTTGGCATACATATTTTCAGGCCTAATTTGGTTGCATGTGCAAAATTCCATACTATTCGGGCTGATATTACACGTTTGGTGCACAATAAAAGGCAAATCGGACGAAGATATATATGGGAGCTATATCTAAATATTGACCGATTATCTCCAATTTCAATAGGGTTCGTCCTTGGGCCAAATAAATGATCTGTGCAAAATTTCATCTGGATCGGGCAATAAATGCGACCTGTACTTTGTTTACAAAAATACATGGACAGACGGACAGACGGACGGACGGACAGACGGACGGACGGACATGCATAAATCGACTCAGAATGTGATTCTATGCAGATCATCAAAAGGAATTATGGGTCTATCTCGTTTCCTTTTGCCTGTTACAAACAAATGCACAAAGACATAATACCCTGACCGCCTTGTGGTGTAGGGTATAAAAATTGCAAGTGTAGAGGTCTATCTGTTTGGCTTGTAATGTCCGAATTAGTATCAAAACAATAAAAAATCAAACAACTTGTTGCATTTATTTTGAATAAATAATTGAATACCATTTTGTAACCATTCTTGTTGGAATGCCCAAGGTCTGCGGCCAAAATGTTTGCGTGCCCAAGGCTATAATACACTCTCCAGAATATTTTCGCGATAATATTCGGCATTTATTCTAACCGACCGGTCGATTAATACGAGTGGAGAGCGACCATCAGCTGTTATGTCGGCCCACACCATAACCATGCCTGGCGCTTGAGTTCTGGTGGCCAACCGAAGATGCACATTTTCAGCTGTCCTCTTTGGCAAGTAGACACGATCATTTTGTTTGTTTACAAACTGCTGGACAACGAATGTTTTCTCATCGAAACCAAATTCAGCAGTTCACCACTTTCGGCCAAGCGTCTATTTTCTTTATGTTGCGGTGTTAGTTCTTGCACTTTTTCGAATTTCAATTACTTTACCCCGAGCTCATTTTTCAAAGTTAGGTTATATGTAAAATGCCAAAATTTATAGAAGAAAGTTCAAAACATGAATGAAATAAAATATATGAACGGGTTAATTCGTGTTCCTAATGCTGAGAGCAAACAACGTGATTGAAATTGCAATGAGAACATAGCATAAGTTGAATACTCGATGAAGACTAGTCGAGTACTCGGTTTTCACCCAAGTCCACAGTCGAGTTCGAGATTCAGAGCACTAATAGTCGATTATTCGATTAATCGAAAGTCGACCTACATATCCCTACGGCATCATTCTCAGTGCTTGCTTCAAACAAACATCAAAATTTCTTTCTTTTCGAAGAAAATTTGTGAAAATACTTGTAAAATAGAAAATATTGGAAACCCAGACGGAGGAGCAACAAAATGGGATCCTCTAAAAAGCACAAGAAACACAAATTGGAACGGCGGGAAAAATATGAAGGTCAGTAACATAACACGACAAGTTTGCCGCCGCTGCCGCTAAATTTGCTGCTGCCAACAAACTTTGTTCATTGGCAAATATAATATATTCCTGTTTTTTTCTTCTATAGAATATAGCCACAGTAATGATCCTGCCAACTTACAAAGACGTTTGAAAATAATTTTAAAACTTGGACCCAATAACACTCCCGAATATGGCGACGACGATGTTATTACATCCACAGTGGCCGGGCCTCCTACTGCTGCCGAGGCAATGTGCAGCAGTCCCTTGGCAATGGAAGATTTCGAAGAGGAGCACCGTGAAAAACACAAGAAATCCAAGAAAAAGAAGAAGAAGAAAGATCGTGAGAAGAAACACAAACATCACAAAGAAAAGAAACGTGATAAGGGAGAAAGACATGCTGTGGACGAAAGTCCCAGACGAGATGCATCCTCAATGGAACGTACTGAAGATTTGACATTAATTGCCAATCAGGATTCACAGTCATTGCCGGCTACTTCCTTTAGTTTGACACAGCAACGCAGTCCTAAACTGGGAGCGGCTGGGCCGCCTTCAAATCTAATGCCCTCGGTGATGGCAGATGGTGATAGCAGCCAGGATGGTTTTAGTTTTATGGACGATGAAACGTCACAGCCTTTACCAGAAAATGTGTTACTCTATGCGGGTATTACCACGGAAAATTCACCGGCCAGTAGACCCATATCCAAACCCATCGTGCCCATGAAAGTAGATGAAGTTACACAAGATTCTGCAGCATCTTCGACCATGCAAAGTGCAGCATCTATGGGAAATGTGGCAGTGGCCATGGCGGAGGAGGGAGAAAATGTTGCAGGGCCTTCAAGTGCAGCAGCAACCCCAAATATACCTCCCAGTCCAATGGGTGCTGGTAGTATTGTGGGTGGCGTTAGTCCCACAAAACCTTTGTCTGAGGTAAGTAAAAAAGTAAAACATTGAAAATAGCAGGACCTCCATTCAAATAATTTTGAAAATATTTTCCAGCTCACAATACCCTCATTCTCACCATCGGCATCAGACACCACACCGGGTGGTTCTAATTTGACACCAAAAATGTTAGAGGCCCCACGAACTCCCAGCTCCTCGAGTGAGTCGGGCCGGGAACCCAGAACATGTGTCCTGAAAATGAAACAACAAAAATCCTCATTAAATAAACTACTGGAGCATTTGCTGCGTGGCTTGGAGAAACGTGATCCCCATCAATTCTTTGCCTGGCCGGTTACGGATGATATTGCACCGGGATATTCGAAAATCATATCGCGACCCATGGATTTTTCCACCATGCGTCAAAAAATCGATGACAATGAATACAGTACACTACAAGAATTCACCGAAGATTTCCGTCTGATGTGTGACAATGCCATACGTTACAATCATGTGGATACGGTGTATCACAAGGCTGCCAAACGATTACTTCAAGTGGGCATGAAACATCTTTCACCGGACAATTTAATGAGAAGCCTCAAACCCACCTCTGGTTATTTGAGGGATCTTACCGCTAAGGAATTAGGTTTCGATTTGGTCCATCACAGTGGAGATTTTGCTGGTTTCGATCATCATGGCATGATTGACTCTGCCGATGAGGGAGCCTCCACATGTACCGAAGAGCCACTGACTCAGGCTCAAATTGAGGAAGAGGAAAAACGTAAGGCCATACGTCTGGCTAATGAGCCTAAGACTAGATTCGAACCTTATGTTGATGATTTAACCTCGGAGGAAATACTGGCCCAGGTTCAGGGCGCAGCTCAGGCAGCCAAAAAACGCTTATCGGCCAAGGAAAAGGCCCATAAAATGGGATTCCTAAGGCAGAACAAAGATGGCACCACCTCACTTAACTTTCTCATCAAAGATGAAAATGAAGGACCTGAAAAGGTGGTGTCTCTGGGTGATTTGGTAGGCAAACTAAAATCAGGATCTGGTCAAGTACAAGGCTATCGTGAAGATAAGCGCAATGAAGCTAAGCTAGTGAAACCTTTGAATTACGGACCCTTTTCGTCATTTGCACCCACATTTGATTCGCGCTTTTCCACACTCAACAAAGACGAAACCCAATTGGTTATGGATACTTATGGTGATGCTCTGAGCACAGAATATGCTGAAAGTATTTTACAATTTACCAAAGATTCTTCGTATGCCACCATGTTGGCCAATGGCCTCTTGGATGCTCTTACCAATGGCGAACATTCCAAATGCATGCAGGATCTCTACGATCTCCAAGTACAAAACTATGAACAACAAGAGGCACTGAAGTGCTTCACCAATGCCGGACCCCTGCTATTGGGCAGTAGCTCTTCGCCCTCGCCGCACGATTCAAGAGCCCAAATAGAACAAGAATATGAAAAATATAAAAATACTCGAATAGATTTTAATCGCCTTAGGACCCTCCAGGAGCTGGGTATAGACACAACATTCTTAAATGATATTGAGAAGGAAATGAAGAACTTTGAATTGACGCGAAGATTACAGGAGCATCTAAGCAATAATCTAAATCTAATTGATAAGCTGAAGAATACCCAGCATGAACGGTTATCACAGCCATTGCCACATCATTTGGGTCTGGTGCAGCCGCCATCACAAGAGGAGACGCAATTGGCACATCAAGTTAGCCAACAGCTGACGGATGTGGTTAAGAAATTACCACCATCGGCGGTAACGGACCCATATGCTCTACGCCGAGCCATGGGCATTTCATATGGTAAGTTCCTCTCTCCCTCTCTCTCAGATATATCGAAAATATCTAAAATATAATTGCCTTTTTAGTTGGTTTGCCACCTCCGCCCGAGCCACAACAGCGTATATCTGTACCCGCCATGTTGCAACAGCCGGTAGCTCTGCCACCCCTAAGCTTTACGAACACCAACCCACAATCTCTATCGTCCAATACAGCAACATCGAGCAATACCGCGAATAGCGGCAGTACAAGCAATCAGGATCAACACAATTTAACAAGCGCTCTGTCCATGGATATCGATGAAGATGTAGGCGGTGCCAATACCAGCGGAGATTTGGAAAATGAATTACGCGAATTTCTAGAAAGTGGCCCAGGTCTACACGCTGCCTCTTCGTCATCCAATGTCGATGATAACAATTTAATGGCTCAATTACTTATGAATTGAAATGTCGTAACAAGTTACACACTCAAGCAATTTGTACGCCTCCTTATTTTACCGTCATGTCTTTTTACTTTTTAATTAGTTTATGTCTCTTTGATATTTCTGATATTGTTCTTCATAGTTTTTTGTACCTATGTTTAGTTAGTATTTTTTTGTATTGGTTTTTAGCTCCTATTCCACTGCCGCTAATTCATGTTTTCGTTTTTTTTTTCTTTCTTTCTCTTATAACTCCAATTTGAGCATTTCAATGGATTTTTTACCTCATAATACATATGTAGATTTTAATTTTCAAATAATTAACAATTCCATCTCTCACATTCTTCCTGGAATAGCAAAATTTGTATTTATTATATAAATTGAGAAAAAAAAAAGAAATAAATATGTAAATATATTAAATATTATATGGAGTGGATATGAGGCGACTTATGGGAGATTTCAACAGGTTTTGGAGAACTTTTGGTATCATTCATCGTTGCAGCAGAAGTCAGGCAAGCTGTGGCGCTGACAAGAAGATCTTGTAGACCTCTTATAATGTGTTAGATGATCTGTGAATATTAGTGCTACACAGGGGAGAAGTATTTAGCCTAATTTTTACAATTTTTTTTTTTAATTTTATTGAATGAAAGCCAAAAATGTCGGAAATAGCATCAAATTTTAGAATAAGTTTAGATTTGTTCGAATCGGTCACCTTTGGCACGAATTATAGCCTTCAAACGGCCAATGAAACCGTCACACGCTGCCCGAATGTTGCTCTGCGGTATCTTGGCCCATTCCCGGCGAAGCGCTTGCTTGATGTGATCGACACTGTGGTATTTTTTAGGGCCAACCATGCCTTCCAAAATACACTAGACACAATAGCCCAACGGATTGGTATCCGGAAGTTTTGGTGGCCATTGTAGGCTAGAAATTAGGCGAGGAACCTCATTTTGTAACCATTCTTAGGTGGCGCGATGGCGATGGTGCTGAGTCCTGTTGAAATGTCCAAGGTCTGCGGCCAAAATGTTTTCGTGCCCAAGACTTTAAAACGCCCTCTAGAATATTTTCGCGATAATATGTGGCATTTATTCTGATGCCACGGTCGATTAATACGAGCGGAGAGCGACATCGGCTGTTATGGCGGCTCACACCCTCACCATGGCTGGCGCTTGAGTTGTGGTGGCCAACCGAAGGTGCGCATTTTCAACTGACCTCTATATGCATAGTTTACCAGTAGGCAGGTTAAGTTCGTAAATGAGCCATGACGGTCCACGTTTTCGTATAGCCCCCATATAACGTTACCTCCCGATATTCGATACTTTCACAATTTTTGAACATTATTTACCGGAATTGTTTCAAATTTCATATTTAAAGTTCGTAGTGCGTACTATAGCCTATGACATAAAAATTCGTATACAGGTCCAAGTCTTCGTGTAGCACCTCCCCATATTCGATATTTTAATTCGATAACGGTACCTCCCGATATTCGGTATTTTGATGATTTTTGCCACATTTTTTACGGATTTGTCTAATAATTGGTATTTGTAGTTCGCAATGGATTCTAGCTCCGTTTGCGAAAATTGTATGCATAGGTCCACGTTTTTGTATAGCCCCCATATATCGGTACCCCCCGATAGTTTTTTGGAAAATTTTCAAGTTCCTTCTAAATGGTGGAGGGTATTAAAAGTTCGACACGGCCGAATTTAGCTACTTTTTTACTTGTTTATATTTCTGGTTTCTGGTTCTCATTTGGTTTAAGACACTAAAACATAGACCCGACCGAGCTTAACACCTTATGTACTTGTTTATCATAATCCTTTGTTATAAAACACGTATTTAAAATTTAATTTATTTAGGCGATGAATTTTCTACAAAATTTTAAAAGTTGTTCAAATTTGTTAACAACTAATGTTTTAAAATATTCTCCACGATCGCCACTATTTACAACAGCAATCGAGCATATCAAGATCATATATGCTGTCAATGATAAAATATATTTGCGGCTCAAACCCCAACCTTTAAAGCCTACTGGTTGAGTTTTATCTTCCACAGGATAACGGCTACCATAGAACAACAGATAACGCATTCGTATTTTGAGTGGATCAACATCCTTGTACACTTGATCACCTCCTTGTGCCACAACTTTATAATCACCTGCAAATTCACACAATGCTATGCAAGATATAAGCGAACCACACTGCGAGGCACCCCATGCAGCATCATAAGGTGTCGTACTCAAATATGACCCAAGATCGGCATACAGTTTTATAGCTTCCTTATTCGGTACTTCAGAAAAACCATTGTATATGATCGAATAATAGGAATCCAAAGTTTGCCCATAAAATCCCAGCTTTGTGGGAGAATTTGAAATTCCTTTCGAATCAATCACTTCAAAGATATGTGTTGGTTTTTGCAATATATTCACATCTTTTAAGCCTTCATTGAATTCTTCCAAATCTACTAAACGCAAACCAGGTTCCTTTTGCTGAATTAAAAGCCAATAGAGCAATTCAATGACCTCTGGATCCATATTATCAATTTGTCCACCAATTATGTTATGTAGCACCACATTGAGTTTTGGTGTATCATTGATGACCATTATCAATGCATCAATATTATGCTCCCCAGTTGTGTCATTGAGAAATCTCGGAGGAAAGGGTTTTAGTTTAAATGTATTCCGATAACTAAAGGCTGTGGCCACAAACAACGTCCATTTGGCATCACAGGCCATCATATCCTTCTCTAAAATCTTGCGCAAAGCTTGAATCTTGCCAAGGAAATCAAGAGGCTCATTTAATTGATGTATTGGAGTTCCATTGTCGCCGCTTTCTTGTAGTGCAGAGGAAGGGTTCTCATCATCCTGAGATATGAAATTTTCTTGATTTTCTGAGTGCCCATTATTTTTGATGTAACATTTTTGTTGTTGCCGAATTTGTAACATTTTAGCAGTTTCTATGCTTCAAAATGTGGTGTAGAAATCTTGATTTGCAAAATTGAGGTTTGATATTTGGATTTTCAACAGTTTCGAATTTACAAAATGCTTTCAAAAACAAAACAAGTAAGTTTAATACCCTCCACCATTTGGTACAAATTTGGCAATTTCCAAAAAAAAAAAAAAATAAAATAAATAAAATAAAAAAAATCCTTTAAAAATTCTGTTAAAATCTTAAAAATACCGAATGTATACCTGCATAGGCAACTTTTGTCATAAGTTATTACAACATTTAAATGCGAAACATGAAGAAAAATTTGTTTATAATGTAGCTAAAATCATCAAAATACCGAATATAGGCGGTACCGTTATATGGGGGCTATACCAAGACGTGGACCTGCACAGACAATTTTCTGGCATGGGCTGAAGTATCCATTACGAACTTCAAATGCGAAATTTAAAACAATCCCGGTAAATAATGTCGCTAAAATTATCAAAATACCGAATATCGGGGGGTACGGTATATGGGGGCTATACGAAGACGTGGACCTACATAGCCCATTTTCTGTTTTCTGCTGCAGTATCTATTACGAACTTCAAATACCAAATTTGGAACGGTTCCGTTAAATAATGTCGCTAAAATCATCAAAATACCGAATGTAGGGGGGTACCGTTATATGGGGGCTATACGAAGACGTGGACCTGCACAGATAATTTTCTGTCTTAGGCTGTAGTATCCATTACGAACTTCAAATGCCAAATTTGAAACAATTCCGGTGAATAATGTCGCTAAAATCATCAAAATACCGAATATCGAGAGGTACCGTTATATGGGGGCTATATGAAAACTTGGACCTACATGACCCATTTACGAACTTAACCTGCCTACTGGCAAAATATACATGTGTGCAAAATTTTAGCCTTCTATCTCAATTTGTTCGAAAGATAGCGTGATTACAACAGACAGACGGACAGACGGACAGACAGACGGACATGGCTAAATCGTATTAGAATTTTACGCTGATCAAGAATATATATATACTTTGTTGGGTCTGACGTGAGTATTTCGAGGAGTTACAAACGGAATGACAAAATTAATATACCCTCCATAGTATGGTGGAGGGTATAAAAATTAATTAATGTCAATGTATAGGAATTCCCAATGAATAGTCCTTAAATGTACAGCAAAGTTAAAGAAAAAGAAAAGTGAGTATATGGCAGACAACTCCTGACTTACAACATAGACAAATGAAAATATAGACAACGAAATGCTCTCACCGTTTATCTTCGAAAAAAATCGAATCATATCGTTTCAGGGGTTTGAGTGGGAATTTTGAAGTCACTCAATTCAAAAATGTTAAAAATAACAAAAACTGTTGGATATTTGTCAGCTGAAAATTATTTCATAATAAAAGAAATGTGAAAAGTACGTGATGACATCGACAAATATGGGAATATTCCAGTGAAATTCTTGAAAAACGATAAAATGTGTTTTCGAAGTCGAGTGGCTTGAACGCGTAAATCAGCATGCTGACTATGCAAAACATGATGAGAGCCATCTGGAAAAAAAGACAAAACTAACTTTTCGTTGTCTATATTTTCATTTGTCTATGCTTACAATTACAATTTTAAAAGCTACAATTGACAGTTTTTATATGAGATGTGGATATGGTCAGTCACCACTTCTTGAAAACCTCTCTCACCAACAAACTGACAATATCGGCAATTTTTGAATTTCAAAAAAAAAAAAAAAAATAATAATAATAATAATAAATAAATAAAACAAAAGTTGTGCCATAGACAAATGAAAAATAGACAACGAATTGCTCTCACCGTTTATCTTCGAAAAAATCGGATCAGCAGATGTCGTCTATATCGTTTCAGGGGTTTAAGTGGGAATATTAAAGCCACTCAATTCTAAAACGTTAAAAATAACAAAAACTGTAGGATATTTGTCAGTTGAAATTTGTTCCGTAATAAAAGATATGTTAAAAGTACGTGATGACATCAAAAAATTTCGGAATAATCGAGTGGATTGAACGCATGTTGACTATGCAAAACATGATGAGAGCCACCTGATAAAAAGACAAAACTAACTTTTCGTTGTCTATATCTTCATTTGTCTATGGTTGTGCTCGATTTGTTCCGTTTATTTGTTTATTTTTTTCAATATCTCTTGAGATATGCCAATTTCGAAAAACAGTACTTTTAAAAAATTTTGTATTGTTTCAAATTTTGTTTTTAAAGTCTAATTGGTCCAAAACGTACCTCATCGAAATAACGGTCTTAGACCCTAGGTATCTTTGGACCAATTCCTTTTTAGGACATTTGGAGTCGATCTAGCGATGTTCGTCCGTCTGTCTGACTGGCTGGTGTGCACAATAACTCTTGAAGGGAGTATTGGATTTGGTCCAAACTTGGTACATCATAATTTTATTACCAAACTTAAATAGAGTTCGGAGATGGGCAATATCAGTCCACTCCTTTTGGTACCCTTGTATCGGTCTACTCATTTTGGCATTTCCCCCACAACATGTCAACATTTTCAAAGAAGATAATTAACTGCACAGAAAGAGAAAGGATAATCCGGTGTTGCTCCAACTTTGTAAATCCTAATATTTGCTAGGTCAGGTGCGAAAATGGACAATATCGGTCCACTCCATCCAGTACTTCCCCCACAATAGGTCAATAATTATAACTCTTATAAAATTTGATGTAAGTGTCCGATTGTCTTCGAATTACACACATCTCAATATTTTTATTTACCCAAGGTATGGTGTGAATATGGAATATATCGGTTCTCTCCTTCTGGTACCGCCCTCACAAAGAGTCAAAATTTTGAATATTCATGAAGCCCATAAAACACGAATATCTCAATATTTCTATCAATATAAGGTCTGTTGTAAAGATAGCAGAGATCGGATCAATCCTTGTACCTCCCCCACAAAAGATCGAAATTTTGAATATCAATGAAGTCCTTTTAAAGGGCTTTTATAACCTGTTTTTTAATAATGTTATAGTTAATTATAAGTTATTTTGAATTTTTCTACTTGGAGGCTTTAGTATTAAGTATGAATTAAATAAATAAAGAAAGAAAGAAAGTTCATAAAACCCGAAATTAACATCCGATTCCATAACACAAGATCTGTTGTGAAGATGATATATATCTGCGAACCCCTTCTGGCACCTCACTCACAAAGAAACAAGTCTGCGATTCTTTAAAACTTTCTGTATCCAGAAACCTGAGATGAATATGGAATTTATGATTTTCCATAAGTTGGATATAAATGTTCGATTTTCTTGTAACATTGCCCACACCAATATTTTTATCTGAAGGTGAAGTATGAAAATGGAATACTTCTCGTCGACAATCTCATTTTAACATTTTCTAAAAATGATCACACATCCCATATAAAGTAAAGGAAGTAGTCGATATAGATCAAACCTGGCACGTCGCAATATTTATATCATATTTATTTAGGTCCCATACGAAATTTTCAATATTGGCCCATTCCTTCGGAACCTACTCTAATTGAATGATCATAACAGCAGGCAATATATATTTAAATAATCGAACATTGGGTGAGGGTATACATATGTCGGCTAAGCCGACTGATATTTTTTGATTTGTTTTTTTTTTTTTCAATATCTTGAAAAGTTCTTAAGATATGCCAATTTTGAAAAAAAAAATAGTATTTAAAAAATACCTTCGAAAATGTTACTAATACATCTCCTCACCCCTTTCTCCTATTACGATTTTATATCTTTTCCATCACCACTACTTTATTCATCCTAGGATGAACACAAAGAGCTTAAGGTCTCCGAGTGAAGTAGTTGTCGATTCCCTCACATTCTTAAACTAAACCAAATCAAATGTATTTTGTTCTTGACAAAAACAAAAATCTTCCATGGGTCTTTGATTGGAACAGCTTTTTAATGAAACCAAAAAAAGTATTGCAAAGTTTTTGTTTTGTTTTTAGTTCGTTTGTTGGTTTTTATTGTAAATTTGTATTACAAAAAGAGATATATTTTCTATTTAAGAATTTGTTAATAACACGCTAGTTTTTGTTTTTTTTTTTAATATTATATTTATATTGTTTTACAATAATAATTATTTTTTAGAATTCTGTATAAGAAAAGTGTTTAATTGCATTATTCAGATTTTATTTTATTTTTTTTTTTCCATACGATATTTTATCGTTAAAGAAACTTTTTGTTGTTCTGTTGTTTCTTTTTGTTGTTTAGTATTATTTAAGGGACAAAAATTGTTTATTATAGTACACCATTAAGGTGAGAATACACAGAACGCTTTTTGGGCTAACTTAAGTCATCGTCTGGCTTCGACGACTTAGAGAAAAAAGCAGTTTTAGGTTGACTTAATTCGATTGGGCCTTCCGGCTTAGGACCAGGCCGATGACTTAAGCCAGTCAAAAAAGCGTTATATGTATTAGCACCCTTCATTGTGATTGATTGCGATATTTTGGGACATAGGATGCATCAGGTCGATATTTGCCATCAGTGTAGAAGGACTGTCTTCAGACAAGAGATTGCCAAAAGAGACTGCTGTTGGAAAAAAAAATTGCCAACAAACTGACTGGCATAACCAAAAAGACTTCCGTAAGACTAAAGGAAATCCAAAAAGCCCATAATGATGGAAAATATAGGTAAATTATACCATTGAATTTTAAGATATTTTGTTTTTCTTACAGAGTGAGATGAAAAAACTGCGATCAAATTCAGACTGATGTCATTTCTAAGTCACTCGTCCGACAGCTATTTAAAATATTCCAGTGACAGCTCATTATATTGTTTACAAGCGTACAAAAGCATTTTGGTGAGAATTTGCCAGAAAAAAAGTTATTCGTGATGGAATTCAAGCGAGATAGGGTGATTTCTTTATATTTGGCTGGAAAACCACAAGTGGCTATCGTTAGAGCACTCCAGCATTTAAATGTGAATAAATCTTTTGTGTCTCGTACCATCGCTCGTTACCGTGAAACTGGTACCGTAGCCCGACGGCAAGGAAGTGGACGGAAGAAAACTGCAACATTAGCAGTAATGCTTCGAAAAGTAAAGAAGCGACTTGATCGAGACCCGCTTGGCAGTGGCCGAAAAATGTCTCGTTAGCTGAACACATCGCATTAGTCCATTCGGCAAATATTGAAAAATGAGCTCGGGGTAAAGCCATTTAAATTGCAAAAAGTGCAAGAACTTACACCACAACAGAATGGAAATAGACTCAAAAGAGCTAAAGCAAAGCAACTTCGCTTGGCCGAAAGTGGCGCACTGCCGAACTTAGTTTTCTCCGATGAGAAAACATTCGTTGTCCAGCAGAGCAGTTTGTAAACAAACAAAATGATCGTGTTTACTTGCCAAAGAGGTCAGCTGAAAATGTGAACCTTCGGTTGGCCACCAGAACTCAAGGGCCGGCCATGGTGATGGTGTGGGCCGCCATAACAGCCAATGGTCGCTCTCCACTCGTATTAATCGACCGTGGCATAAGAATAAATGGCGAATATTATGGCGAAAATATTCTGGAGAGTGTATAAAAGCCTTGGGCACGCAAACATTTTGGCCGCAGACCTTGGACAGTGCAACAGGACTCAGCACGCGCCACCCAAGAATGGTTACTAAATGAGGTTCCTAGGTTAATTTCTAGCGCACAATGGCCACCAACATCTTCGGATACCAATCCGTTGGACTATTGGGTCTGGAGTATAAAAGCAAGGTTGGCACTAAAAAATACCAAAGTGTCGATCACCTCAAGCAAGCGCTTCGCCGGGAATGGGCCAAAATACCGCAGAGCAACAATCGGGCAGCGCTTGACTATTTCATTGGCCGTTTAAAGGCCATAATACGTGCCAAAGGTGGCCAATTCGAAGAAATCTAAACTTATTCTAAAATTTGATGCTATTTCCAATATTTTTTGCTTTTATGGGGATTTACTTTGTTGCAGTTTTTTTATCTCACGCTGTATAGGTACACTATATTATTGAATTTTATGATATTTTGTTTTTCTTATAGAAAAGATGGGATCGATTTTCCTAAATTTAGAGCTCAATGAACACACAAAGGCATTTATTTTGGATTGCATCAATATTGGAAAGTGTTTTTTTAAAAAAATCATAAAGTAATTGGCTGGGAATTTAATGAATAAAAATAAAATGTTTTAAATTCTTTTCTTAAAAATAAAATTTGTGTTTGTTTATTTAAATAGTTTGCAGTGTTTTAAATTTAATATATTTATTTGTGTGTGTGTGTGAATGGTAATTATATATAAAAAATAAATTCTTAGAAAAATATATATATTTTGTTTTGTTATACAGGCCATTAAGTTGGAGTTTTGTTTTTTTTTTATTGTTTGGTTGTTGTTTTTACAAAATGTGTGTGATTCATATGTATATATAAAAAAAAATAAAAAAATTAAGTATTTCATTATTATATATCAATTATTTGTTAAGTAAATCATTTACATTAATTTAAATTCTGACTATATAGAGATATTTGTTTGTTTTTTTGTTTAATTATTATTTTGTTGTTTTTTTTTTCAATAGCTTGATATACAGTAAAACCCATGGCTAGTGCAGATGAAGTTAACATTTTTCCAACTTATTTTGGGATTCATACCCAGGAAATTTTATGAAAAGCAAACTCGAAGGGAAGGAGGATTTCTTTGTGTCTAAATAAGGCCTTACAGATTGGTTAGTTTTTTCTTTTTTTTAGAAAAATTTACTATTTTCCTAAAATAATTTTTTATAAAGGAATTTCAGAAATTCCACGCTTGCTTGTAGATCACCAGAACAGTGTCCGAATTCCCACACTCGATATTAAAAAGATTTCGTTTGAAATTAATTTGAATATGTTTGGTGTGGATAAATGGAAAAATTCGTTAAAAAAGTAAAGGTGGGAATACATAAAACGCTTATCTGGCTGGCTTAAGTCATCGGCTGGCTTCTTCGGAAATGATCAAAGGAGCCTAGGTTCAAAATCGAACAAAATCAACCTAAAACTCATTTGTACAATGAAGCCAGCCGATGACTTAAGCCAGCCAAATGTGCGGTTTATGTATTTTCACCCTAAGTTTCAAAGGTTCCGAATTCTCGCACTCGATATCGATAAGATTTCGCTCGGAATGAATTTGAAAATGTTTACTTTTGGTATGGATAAATTAAAAATTTCGTTAGAAACTAGTAAATTTCGAAGGTTGGAATTAAATCCCTGCGGTTTCTTTCAACATTTTCATTCAAATCAATCTAAAATGGGCATATTTAAATTAATTTCGTTTGAAATTTGTTCGAATGGAATACAAGAATTTGGTCATAGGTTTCACTGTACATACTTATAATTTTGAAGTTGTTAAAGTTTGATATTTCATTACAAAAAATAGTGGAGCCAATTTGAGGCTGTAAGGCTGGCAAAAAATTTAACCAAAAATAGATCTCAAATATCTCCAAAATTTTGTTTCGTAGTTTGTTTTTTCTTTTTCTTTACAAATTGTTATTTGTTATTGCTTTTTTATATCCTCTATAACTTGACGTCTCACAGGATACTGAGGTAGTATTTACAAACATTTTTTAAGATATTTAGTTTTACAATCAAAATATTGTTTTTGTTTTCAATTACATATTTAATATTTTTTTTGTTAAGTAACTCATTAGGCGTTATACTTGAATTTTATCGCAGCAGGTTGATTTGGACTTTGTAAAGTATTGTTTCTTTTTTATTTATGTTTTGTTTTATTTTTTTTTTTAAATACTCTTCTTTAAATTTCACTTTCGGAATCTTGTGTTGTTAAACGTTTACGACTTTTGGTTGATTTTGAATTCAATGGAAATAGAAAAAAAGTATAAAAAATAATTTATTTTGTACAAAAAAGAAAAGAAGCAAATATCATAAACGAAACCATAAACGAAAACACACACAGTTACAAGCCATGAAATCATGATTGAAAAGGTTGGCAAAGTTTTCAGAGCCTTGGTAAGAAAACTTCAATGGTGATTAAGTACTACTTAGATTAAGGCGGCAGTTTTTTTCTTATTTTTAAATTGAGAAAATAAAAATATAAGAAAATTTTAAAACCAAGGCTCCTCTCAAAATGTAATGGAAACAGCCAAAAATAAACCATTAACAAATGCAATCAACAAAATAAGAAGTCAAAGCCTTACAAGAACTAAAAATAAATTAAGTTCACTTTCAATTTTTCTCAACTGTTAGCTACTTAGGCATACAATGTCCAGAGTTTTATGTAGTATATTGTTTGTGTGGGTTTGTTTTTTTTTTTCATTTTTGGCATGCTCCGGTGTGATTTGTTACATGTAAGTGTCATAGGATTAGCATATCACTCCATGACAAGTGTTTTCTGTCTGTCTGTAGTTTTGTTTTTTTTTTCTTTCTTTTGTGTTAGCAATACATTTTCGTTTTGTTTTAAGTAGTAATTAAGTAATAAATTAACATAGAATGAAAAAAAAAGAAAATTAAGTAAAAAAAAATAAAACAATTACACTAAGTTTGCATCTTTAGCCATGCTATAGAAGGCGCTTTGAGGATTGTTCAATAGATTGTTGGGTGAATCGAATTCGGAAATTTCACCCTTGTCCAAAACGATAACTTTATCCGAGTCCAAAATTGTATTCAAACGATGGGCAATGGTCAAGATGGTACAATCGGCGAATTCGGAGCGAATTGTTTTCTGGAAGAAAAAATGAAGAAAACAACAAAAAATTAGAAAGTTGAATAAATTGTTAGAAATTATCAAAAAAAAAAAAAAAAACAGTAAGGAAAAGTCAAAAGTCGGGCGGGGCCGACTATATGATACCCTACACTTTTATGTATATTTAGTAAAACTCCCGAAACAAAATAATTTATTTGAAGTGGGGATTATATCACTTATCAACTTTTGGCTTTAGAGCAGTTATAATTTGGTTTCAGAGAGAACTAATACATGGGAGGCATATCAAACTCTTAATGGATTTTCACTATTGACGGAGACATTTTAATCACTTCGAAAGGGATTATATTAAAAATATATATATCGGAGCCGATTTCCACCAAATGGAAACGCACGTCCCGAAATTCCCTCCATTTGGGGTGATATTACTCATTATTTGCACAATAAACTTGAAATCGGATTAAGGATATTTATGGGAGCTATATATACAGGGTTGCCCATATTCGACGGACCTTTGGGCCCTTTGGGGTAAAATCAGCTTGGACTGACGCTTCAAACGCGGTATGTCATTAAGCGATGTGACATCATGTCAAAAGTTATGGTGTTGCCGGACCCATCGTCGAATATGGGCAACCCTGTATACAGGGTGGGATTTCAAAAAACTGCAACCAACTTCAGACTGCTGTCATTTCTAATCCACTCGTCCGACAGCTGTTAAAATTATTCCAGTGACATCTCATTATATTGTTTACAAGCGTACATAAGCATTTTGATGAGAAAAAAAAGATATTCGTGATGGACTTTAAGCGTGATAGTGTGATTTCTTTATATTTGGCTGGAAAACAACAAGTGGCTATTGTTAGAGCACTCCAGCATTTAAATGTGAATAAATCTTTTGTGTCTCTTAACATCGCTCGTTACTGTGATACTGGTAGCGTAGCCCGACGTCAAGGAAGTGGACGGAAGAAAACAGCAACATCAGCAGAAATGGTTCGAAAAGAAAAGAAGCGACCTGATCGAAACCCGCGTCGCCGCAAAATGGCTCGTGAGCTGAACATATCGCAATATTCCATTCCGCAAATATTGAATGAAAAATGAGCTCAGAGTAAAGCCATTAAAATTCCTAAAAGTGCAAGAACTTACACAGCAACAAAAAGAAAATAGACTCAAAAGTGCTAAAGAGTTGCTTCGCTTGGTCTAATTTGATTTTCTCCGATGAGAAAACATTCGTTGTCCAGCAGAGCAGTTTGTAAACAAACAAAATGGTCATGTTTACTTGCTAAAGAGGTCAGCTGAAAATGTGCACCTTCGGTTCGCCATAAGAACTCAAGCGACGGCCATGGTGATGGTGTGGCCCGCCATAACAGCCGATGGTCGCTCTCCGCTCGTATTAATCGATCGTGGCATCAGAATATTAACGCTAAAATATTCTGGGGGTGTATTAAAACCTTGGGCACGCAAACATTTTGGCCGCAGACCTTGGACATTCCAACAGGATTCAGCACCATCGCTCTCAGCACGCGCCACCCAAGAATGGTTACAAAATCGTCCCTCGCTCAATTTCCAGTGCACAATGGCAACCAAAATAAATCTCCGGATACCAATCCGTTGGACTATTGTGTCTGGAGTATTTTGGTTGGCACTAAAAAATACCAAAGTGTCGATCACCTCAAGTAAGCGCTTCGCCGGGAATGGGCCAAGTACCGCAGAGCAACATTCGGGCAGAGTGTGATGGTTTCATTGGTCGTTTGAAGGCTATAATTCGTGCCAAAGGTGACCAATTCGAACAATCTAAAGATATTCTAAAATTTAATGCCATTTCCGACATTTTTTGCTTTCATTCAATAAAATTTAAAAAATGTAAAAATTATGGCGTTTGACTTTGTTGCAGTTTTTTTATTTCACCCTGTATATTAACATAACACCGAAAAGATTACGATATTGGATTATCGTTGATAATATTTTATCTAGCACTGAAGAAAATTTTACGATATATGATTTTCACATTGTGGAAAAAGGGGTCTACGATATTTACATGCATTTAAGCGGGGAAAATGTTTTTTTGGACTTTTCGAATTCTAATATTTTTTCAAAGCGAGGATTTTTTTATAAATTCAGTTGAACAGACAAATTTGCCCTATATAATAAATTTCCGATATAATTACAAACAAAATATTACCATATTAGAAAAAAATCCTATAAAGACCTCTGACTTCCTTCCTCTTCACTTACCTGAATCAAATCATCGGTTTCCAAATCAACAGCGGCAGTGGCTTCATCCAAAATCAATACTTTCGTCTTGCGCAATAAGGCACGAGCCAAACACACCAATTGACGTTGACCCACCGACAAATTTTCACCACCTTCGGTGATTTCATGATTCAAACCGGATGGTAGAGATTTAACGAATGTCTTCAAATGGGACAATTCCAGAGCTTTCCAAATCTCCTCATCACTCTTGACTTCGAAGGGATCCAAATTGATGCGCAACGAACCGGAGAAGAGCACAGGATCCTGGGGAATGATGGTGAGGCGGGAACGCAGAGTATGCAAGCCCAAGGTGGAGATATCAATGCCATCGATAAGAATGCGACCGCCGGCCGATTCAATGATACTAAAACGAACAAGAAAGGGATTTTTAATTGAAATGGAAAAATGAAGTAGGTGATTGAAACTTACCGGAATAGAGCCAGAGTCAAACTGGATTTGCCAGCACCGGTACGACCCACAATACCCACTTTCTCACCTCCGGCAATTTTGAAACTAATGCCACGCAATACCAAATCCAAACCCTCACGATAGCGTACCTTGAAATCTTCAAAGCACACCTGACCCTGTTCGGGCCAATCACGTGGCACCTTGGAGTTTTCAATTTCCCATGGAGCTTCTTGTTTGGTCTCACCGTATTCCTTGATACGTTCCACAGCCACAATATTCGTTTCAATGTCCGAAGACATGCGCACCAACCAATTCAGGGTTTGGGTAACTTGTAGGGCATAACTGACGGATAGACCAACCAAGCCGGGATTGGTTTGACCACCCAGTACGGCAAACAACGAGGCAAAGAGAATAATTAAATTACCCACCATTTCCAGGCGAATAGCTAACCAACGATTGGCAATCAGGGAGGGATATTTGCAAATTTGATTTTTGTCGACCTTGTTATCGGATTCATCGATAAATCTGGAAAGAGTGGGGATATTTTGTTAAAATTAATTATTATAAATGTTGGGGGGTTTACTTACCTATCTTGGACTGCATAGGCTCGGATGGTTGATACACCGGTCACCGTTTCTCCGAAATGTGAATATATGGGCGATCTTGATACCGATTCCAAACGCATCAATTGCCGAGACGTGGCCACATAGAAACGTTGGGCAAAATAGTATAGGAAGGCAATTGGTATAATCACTGCCAAGAATATGGGTGTGGACATACTAATAACCACAATGGTGGCCAAAACCTGTTTGAGTTAACCAAATTTGGTAAGGAGAAAAAAAATGTAAATAGTGAAAATAAATGTTTTGTATTAAGGGGAAAGGTATTTTATTGGGTGAATTCGAAATGGATCTGGAGTTAGGTTATAATGAACATTTTCACTGACGAAATTGTATTCAATGATCTATCTTGATTGACTTAATTCTTTGTGTCAATTAGTTCATTATATATATTTTGAAAATTCTTTTCAGATTTCATCCAATAAAATACCTCTAAAATAAAATATTTTTTTTCTTTCTTGAATGACATATGTTTTTTGATGCTAGTGATTGAATACTCTATAATAAAATATTGAATAAATGCTAATGGTCATAAAAATTATCATCATTACTTGATTTTTCTCTTCGACTTAGTGTATAGGTAGTAGGTGAAAACTTATGTGAGTGAAGGTGTAAATGTTGTTTTGCTTGCATCAATGACAAGTGGGTGTATTGGAAAATTGAAATTATTTATAGTCGGGAAACTATGAGGATTCCTTTCAAATTGAAATTATTTGAGTTAGGTTATGTTTAGATTCGATATCAAAATTATTATGGACTAATGTAGAGAAAATATAGAGTAGCAATTTGGCAAAAAATATGGAATAGATGGGATGTCCAAAGACGGTTTTTCTTTATCACCTCATGTGACTTAAGTAGATGAATATTTCAATATTGGGTATACAATGACTCGATATGAACAACATATTATTTATTTCAATTTCTTGGTGCTCAGTCTATCGTCATTAGACCAAATTCGTGAATTAATAAAAATAAACATATCAACACCAAAAAATGTGCAGGGAAAATCGAGCAGATTTTGAAAGTAGATCTTAAAATAGAAGACATGAGTTTCAACGTTTTTAAAGTTTACACTTCAAATTAACCTTAAAGGAGCTGGGGAAAGTTTTCTCCTCTTCCAAACTTTTGGAAATTTTTGGATTAAAATTCCTCAGAATCCAAGGATGTTAGCTATGCAGTGTCTTTGGCTATATCGTAGATAAAAATACGAGGAATATATCGTTTAAACAGTTTAACCCTCAAGCGAGTCAAAAAAAGGGGTCGTTTTGGTCCTTTTTTAACATTTGAATAAAAACTCCCATTATACGGGATAGTAGCAATTCGAAATGTTCCACAAATCTTCTTATATATTAATACCCCATTTTAGGGTTAAAGCCGTGACTTCATGTGACTTCATGAACAAATCTCCAACAAGGCATCATTTTAGAAGGATGACGTCAAAGACAAAAATATTCTTCATAAAATTTTACTATAAGTCAGAAAATGTCTTCTACCAAATACACAATATACTTAAAATGTACGGATTTCAGGGGCTCTTAATCCGAAAATGGACACATGCAGGAACTTGCCCTAGCTCTATTTGGGCCACTTTTCGAGGCAAACTTTTAAAACGCCGATAGACGTGTTTTTTTTTAGCAGTAGTTTCATAATCTGCTAAATTTTCGCCGTAATTATTGAAAAAATTTAATTTTGTCGCACAGTGTAATCATTTTACATTATTTGGTTAACGTGGATAACTGATCTGCTTTTTTGGATAACGCGGATAACCGATTCACATTATTTGGATAATGTGGATAATCGTTTTATACTGTTTGGATAACGTGGATAACAATTTCGCATTATTTGGATAACGTGGATAATTATTCCACGTCATTTGGATAACGTGGTTAATTATTCCAGGTCATATGGATAATGTGGATAATCATTTCAAATCATTTGGATAACATGGATAATTATTCCAGGTCATTTGGATAATATGGATAATTATTCCACGTCTTTGGATAACGTGGATAACCATTTCACATTATTTGGATAACGTGAAAAAAGTTTCCAGTTCATTTGGATAACGTGGATAATTATTCCACGTCATTTGGATAACGTGGATAATCGTTTCACACTGTTTGGATAACGTGGATAATCATTTCACATTGTTCGGATAACGTGGATAACCATTTCGGATACGTGGATAACCATTTCACATTATTGGGATAATGTGGATAATTATTCCAAGTCATTTGGATAGCGTGGATAATCATTTTATGTCAATTGCATTTGGATAACGTGGATAATCGTTTCACACTGTTTGGATAACGTGGATAATCATTTCACATTGTTCGGATAACGTGGATAACCATTTCACGTTGTTCGGATAACGTGGATAACCATTTCACATTATTGGAATAATGTGGATAATTATTCCACGTCATTTGGATAACGTGGATAATCATTTTATGTCAATTGCATAACGTGGAAAATTATTACACGTCATTTGGATAACGTGGATAATCATTTCACACTGTTTGGATAACGTGGATAATTATTTCACATTGTTCGGATAACGTGAATAGCCATTTCACATCATTGGAATAATGTGGTTAATTATTCCACGTCATTTGGATAGCGTGGATAATTATTCCACGTCATTTGGATAGCGTGGATAATTATTCCACGTCATTTGGATAGCGTGGATAATCATTTTATGTCCATTGCATAACGTGGATAATCGTTTCACACTGTTTGGATAACGTAGATAATCATTTCACATTGTTCGGATAACGTGGATAACCATTTCACATTATTGGGATAATGCGGATAATAATTCCACGTCATTTGGATAACATGGATAATAATTCCACGTCATTTGGATAACGTGGATAATAACTCCACGTCATTTGGATAACGTGGATAATCATTTCACACTATTTGGATTCCGTGGATAAGTATTTCACATTATTTGGGTAACATAAAGTCATTTTAGGTTATTTAGATAACGTGGATAATCATTTCACCTTATGCGGATAATGTGGATAATTATTCCACCTTGATTCGATAATGTGGATAATCATTCCACGTTATTTTAACAATTTATATAACTTAAACTAATACCTAAAAACGAAAGAAACTTTACCACAAATCCACACCACAGACCATCGTCGAATAGTCTTGGCAATACCGTATCCAAAGCCTCGACATCTTTTGAGAATCTCGACAAGATACGACCCGATGGTGTGGTATCGAAAAATTGCATTGGCACCCGAAATATATTCCACAACATACAGCGATGTAGGACAAGACCAGCACGTAAAGCACCAAGCCAGGGCGTTACAGCGACGCCGTAAGAAAATAGAACTGCGCGTGTGTGGGAGGAAAATAGAAAGGATAGAAGAAAGCACATGTCAGTTTTTATTGGGGTCAAAGGGCAGAAAACATTTAATTTAAATGGAACGCTAACCAAAATGAAAATTAAGGGTTTTATTTTGTACAGAGAGTTACAACTAAGACGATCAAGCGAAAACAACGCATTGACGAAATATATAAAAAACTAGGACATGCGCTAAAATCCCATCCATTATGGCTATGAAAACTAAAACTAGATCTTAAGGTTAGTTGTAAAGAGTTGGTTCGTTAGTAGATTAGGAAAAAAAATGGTACAGAATGTCACAATGTCCCTTGACCATGAATGGTCTATGGGAATATTATAAATATAAACTAGTTTTATTTAAATTTTTCAGAATCGTTCGATTTTTTGCTACAGCAAGAGGAAGTGAAAATGGTTTTTTATCATACAAGAGTTCTATTTAAGATCTTTATGGACTTTATGGATATAAACAGTTTTGATTTTGTTTTCTACTCACATTTCAGTCATACTGGCAGAGAGAGAGAGTAATGGATACTTAATTATAATTATGTATAGAGAGAAAGAGACAGAGAGAGATAAGGAAAGAGAAAATATCTATTTTTTTTGTGGAAATACGTACTAATGTCTAAGCAAATATTCTAAAATTAATACATTTTACTAAAGATCATGCTAAATATAATAATTCTTGGAACTAATAACCGGTTGTACCAGTGGTCGAAATCAATCTTATATTTATAGAAGTCTTATTATACCCTCCACAATAGTATGGAGGGTATATTAAGTTTGTCATTCCGTTTGAAACACCTCGAAATATACATTTTAGACCCCACAAAGTATATAGTATATTTTAGACCCTACAAAATATAGTAAGATCAGCATAAAAGTCTATGTCGATTTAGCGATTTCCGTCCGTCTGTGGAAATCACATTAGCTTCCGAACGAAATGAAGAAGGTTGATAAAATTTTACTCAAATGTATATTATGTCTGCAGGAGTTTTGGTATTGAAAATGAGCCGTGTAGGTCCACGTTTTGTCATATAATGGTATACACCTATTTCGGTATTTTGGTGATTTAAGCGACATTATGGAAATGTTTCATATTTGGTACTTGAAGTTCGTAATGGATACTACAGCCGATGATAGAAAATTGTCCGTGCAAATCCACATCTTCGGTATAACGGTAACTCCCGATGTTCGGCATTTTTATGATTTTAGGGACATTATTTGCCAGAATTGTTTCAAATTTGGTATTTGAAGTCCGTATTGGAAACTACAGTCTATGACAGAAAATTGTCTGTGCAGGTCCATGTCTTCGTATAGCCCACATATAATGGTACCTCCCGATATTCGGTATTTTGATGATTTTAGCGACATTATCTACCGGAATTGTTTCAAATTTGGTATTTGAAGTTCGTAAGGGAAACAACAGCCTATGACAGAAAATAGTACGTGCAGATCCACGTCTTCGTATAGCCCCATATCATTTGAGCTACATTATTCACGAATTTTTTTTTCAAGTTTCGCATTTGAATATTGAAATTGCCAAATTCGTTCCAAATGGTGGAGGGACTTACCGGCCGAACTTACAGGTTTATTACTTGTTATCCATAGGAGTTCGGTAAAAGATATTTCATCCAAAGAAGAACTGCTTAAGAGGTCTTAAAGTCACTGAAAATATAAAAAATGTAAAAAGTCTTCCATCTGAGAAGATCTACCGATCTTTAAAGTCAACGAAATTCTGTAAAAAGTTTTCCGGTCATAGAGAACCTCTAAAATTCTTTTCTAGTTGTGGAATACCGGTAGAACTTCTAATATGGTTAGAAGAAC